GGTTTAATGACAGGCGGCTCAGGCAGCAAGTCCGGCATGTTGGTGTTAATCCAAATTCCACCTCCTCAGAACATGGCACAAGCAGGTCGACGGTCGACGAATGCTCCCTCTTCAGTACCGACTCTAGGTGGGACTTTACTACAACTTTACTCACTTCATAAGTTTTGGTCTCCGCTAATTTCATATTAATGGAGCTAAAAGTTAAACTTTTATTGGGGGGTTAAAGAGCAACCAAGGACTGAGACCCAGGCGCTCGCGCCACCTCTCTAACCGATGCTTCAGCGATCGGAGGTCCACGTCTGCCTCGTGGTTTCCGAAGCATGCCTTGGCAGAGAAGCAACACCCTAGACCCTAAACCGGAAAGAAGAAAACATGAAGAGGCTGGACGCATCTTGATCTGCAGGCTGAGCCGCATATTGCACACCACTTTCCAACATCACCTCCTGGAATGGCATCTGATGCATGGATATCCACGGCGCAAAAACTAACCATGCTACTGTATCGTGCTATCATAAACAGCACTATGCACAAAAACCAAAAAAACGACACTGCACTATACCAATCCGCCGAGGCCTCGAAACGTACGAGTAGGGGTCTTGGTAGCACAAGCCAGGTACCCCACCTCTAATCCCGTCCCATCCCGTCCCCAACGCTCCCTGCACAGAAGGCGCCCCTTTCATTGGCAAGTCTTGCTTGGAATGGGTACCCCCCCCCCCCCGTCCCCTGCCCACCCCCCCACTTCCACCTCCCGGCTTGCTTTTCTTGTTTTACACATTTGGGGTGCCTGGTCTATACATGGGCGTGCGTGTTACAAGAGGACCCGCAAAAGGAAATGATTGCTTGAAGCCTCTCAAAGCCCTGCAGCCCAACAGCACCTTCACACCCACAGTTGGGGTTGCTGGGCAAGCCCAAGCCGAGGCGGGCCGCGTAGGGTTAACAGTACTGTACTATAGCATGATGTGCACCATGATATAGACCAGAATCATTCAATAGTACCATACCATCACCACTTACGACGCCCACCGCGCACCCGAAACCCTATGCCCTAAGCCCGAAAGCCTAAAGCCTAAAGCCTAAAGCCTAAACCCTAAAACCTAAACCCCAACTGTTTTCGACCAGGCCACCACCATGCCTCTTCCTTTGTCCAACGTACTCAGAGGATACGGGGAGAGGAGGTCACCTCCAACGCAGACGACGAGGTTTTCACGCCGTATGCCTGAACAGCAGTCCTTAGTAGGGATTTATGGTTGGGATGTTCCCCCTTATACTAACAGTCCTTAGTATAGGGATTGTAGTACCCCCTACTACATCCCGATTCAGGACTGCTAGTATAAGGGGGAGGATGCCAAGTTGAAAGGGTTTCGGGGAGAGAAGCCATGGTAGACCATCATGACAGAATCCATGGCACACCCTTTGCAAGCAAAGCTGGAACAGCTTTTGGACCCGGTATGTCCCACAATAGGGCTTCCACACACTGATGTTGCACTGCTTTTAGTATGTCCAGGGTCCATAATCACAAGTTTCCATAATTTATTCTGCGAACAGAGTTTGTTGGAGATACCCGCTATTATCACAAGTTTTTTCCGGACGGTTGTGTTTTTAAAGGGTTCGTGTTTAGGGTTAAGGGCTTACGCAGTAAGGCTTGAGGCCCTGAGGGCCTTGGGCTCCAGGAATCTTAAAGGCTGGAAAGCTTCAGGCCTTAAGGTCCTACATACTTGTGGCCCTGAGGTCGATTCCCCTTCCCCCCCCCCCCCTTGTGGCCCTGAGGTCGATTCCCCTTCCCCCCCCCCCCCCCCCAATTTTGTTTGGGGTGGTCGCCGCGCCACGCGTTGGGGCCGGGGGGGGGGGGTGTATATGACAAGCAGTGCAACATTAATCCTTCCCTCCAACACCCAAAGCCCTAAGCCCTAAACCCTAAACCCAACCTAAACCCTAAACCCTAAACCTTAAACCCTAAACCCTAATTAAACCTAAACCCTAAACCCTAAACCCTAAACCCCAAACCCCAAACCCCAAACCCCAAACCCCAAACCCCAAACCCTAAACCCTAAACCCTAAACCCTAAACCCTAAGCCCTAAGCCCTAAACCCTAAACCCTAAACCCTAAACCCTAAACCCTAAACCCTAAACCCAACAAGTGCCCCTAATTTCTCCCAGTTGAGCCTGGAGGCGTCTAGGAACTTTCTCAAGCGCGGCCTCGGATGAGGCAAGCGACCATCCGTTGAAGCCTTTGCACCTCCGCACCCTTGCTTGCTAGGGTTTAGGGTTTAGGGTTTAGGGTTCAGGGTTCAGGGTTTAGGGCCTCATCCGCGGCTACCTCAAACCCGACACCCCGTCGACTGGAGGCTTGCCGAGGAACAGATTGTCCATGATATACACCTTGGTAGCCCAGCAACCATATCTTAATAAGGGCACCCTTTTTGGGGTTTGTTACTTTATAAGGGGACCCGTAACCAAAAAAAAGGGTAAAGGGTACCAGTGGGCTACCAAGACACATCGTTGATGTGGACTAAACGGATGCGCACTGCATCCTCATCATCCTCCTCCTTATTTGTCACAGAGTGAGAGACATTCCTTGGGATGTTGCGCCTTATACTAACAGTCCTGAAAAGCGATTAAAATAAAGAGGTAGTGCAATCCCGATGAAGGACTGTAAGTATAAGGGGGAACATCCAAAGACATTCCAGACATATACCTTGAACACCAGAGAACTCTCAAAAATGCCAAACAGTCTCCTGCGGGAAGCTCACCTTAACACAATGAAGCCCTGTATGAAACACGAACCGACCATAGCTTAGACTAGTTTAGAGAAGAGAATGCTCTTCCCCCCCCCCCCCCCCCCCCCACATCATATGCATGTTCAAGGATATATGGTGCCTGCACCAAGCTGCGGCCTTCGCGCGAAGAGTCCAAATGGCCTCTTCCTCCGAGTTTCGCGGCTTAGGGTTTAGGGTTTAGGGTTTCGGGTTCAGGGTTCAGGGTTCATGGTTTAGGGTTAGGGATTGGCTTGTTCAGGTTTGGACCTTGACCGCAAGTCCCTGCCTTGCTCCAGCCCAGATCAGTCGTTGTGCACTTTTCAGCATTGCATTTCCCAAACCCTGAACCCTGCACCCGAAACCCTAAACCCTAAACCCCCCCCTCCGCCCCCGCACATCGCTGTGCAGATTGGCCGTCTCATGCAGTCCTCTGCCCGCCGAGGAGTCCGGGCAGAGGATTTCGGCTGCCGGCTCTGCCTCCGCAGCATCCATGTGGGGGTTTCCGAAAATAGGGTTTAGGGTTTAGGGTTTAGGGTTTAGGGATATGGGGGTTTACGATATTAGGGGTACCTTTGTTGGGGCGAGTACTCTAAGGGGATCCTACTATTTGGGGTTCTAGTTGCGGGATCCCTAATGTGGGGTATGAACCTGGGGCTCTCTTTATTACCTACAGTTTGGTGGGTTATACCTACTACTTAAAGGCAGTTACTGCTACACTCTATGTAAATGGAGTCCCAGGAAAGGGTGAATCTGTAGGTGATTAGTCCTGCAAGGGCTCCGGCTTCAGTTCAGACGTCACAAAAACAAATGTGCACAAGTCCCTGGCTTTGGCATCCGTGGGCTGCATGGCCAGCTTCCAGCATTAAGTGGTCAGGAAGCCCGAGTTTCCCTGGGGGGTCTGCGCCATGGTGCCACAGTGTGGTGTTGGGGTGGGGAGCCCATGCCCAAGCCGGAAGCTCTATGACCCTAAACCCTAAACCCTAAACCCTAAACCCTAAACCCTAAATCAATCCAGACCACAGCACCAGGGCAGGGGAGCAAGCAACCTCCACACCACATGGTACCGCACCGGCCCTACTTGGGTATTTCCCCAATTAGGGGTACCCCAAAATAGTACAATCCATATGATAAGAACTCAAATAGAGGTTCCCTCATACACCCCCAAAAGAGTGTAATCCTTACTATAAGAACCCCCCCCAAAAGGGTACACCCATTGTTGGAAATCCCTACTTGTTCAGAGTTCAGACTGTGGAAGGCGCCAGTGAAGGCCCCCTCGGACCATTAAGCTGTCGAAGGCGACCCCTTGACATGACTCCCCGAAGATTCAGGGTTTAAGGGTTTAAGGGTTTAAGGGTTTAAGGTTTAGGGGTTTAAGGGCTTAAGGGCTTAAGGGCTTAAGGGTTTAAGGGTTTAAGGGTTTAAGGGTTTAAGGGTTTAAGGGTTTTAGGGTTTAGGGTTTGCATATGGCCAAAGAACGTACGTTAGACATGCCGCTAGCCCTTCCTCCAGGCGAACAAGCTGAAATTTGTCGCTGCAGGACGACACCTTTTCCCCTACTATGATTTGTACAAGGACGATACCTTCGGTCGTAGCTTGAACAGATGCCCCCCTTTTATTCCGGAATCCCCTAGCCATGACTTTAGCAGTTGGGATGACAGGTTGCTCAGTTCGGGCTTTGGGCTTTGTTGCAAGCGGCAGGACAGGAGACGAATCGGTGACCACACCTGAACCCCAAGGCAGACGCCGAAAAGAAGCCTTTATAAAAGCCTCCCCTACATGGCTCTGCATGTATGACTGTGTCATTCAGAGAGGGATGCCTTTGCCAAGTGAGTAAACACTCCCAAACCACGACCGTTTTTCAGCCCATCCACATAAGCAGCCCATCATCAGTTTAGGGGGGCAGGTCCGCACCTCCCCAGCCAGAAGCCCACTGCACCAGCCCCTAGGGCGACCGCAGCGGTAAGCACCATGGCGCTGGCGGGGCTAAAGCATGGCGCCGATTAGGTCAAGTTTGCCGCATGAAGCGGCGGGTTCCTACATTCTGCTGCTGACCACGCATGTGCATCTGTTCCCCCTTATGATAACAGACCTTAATAGGGATTATAAAAGGTGGTCTGTTAGTTCCCAACATGTGCAACTCATGTGCAACGTCGCTGGCGAGATCCACACACGATCAGCTTCAACGTGGAAAAAGCTGGCAGAAGCAAGCTGATCAGCCATTCCCTCCCGCCCCAGGGCACCGGCTATGCAGACTTTGAAATTGTCCCAGCTGGCCCAGGAGAGCTTGCTCATGTCACTGTCCCACTCGACCGTCCTATCACAAAAGCACATAGAGCATTTCCAAAAAGGGCGCCGCCGGGAACATCTCTGCGAACTCTCCGCCCGTGCCCCCTTCTTGCATACTTTAAACATACAAAACTTAATTTTTTCGCAAAAAGGGTGCTCTTTTTTGGGTTGGTTACTTTATAAGGGGACCTAGAACCAACAAAAGGGAAAAGGGGATCACACTGGGTTACCAAGAAAAAACCAACTGGACGTTAAGATCACAGGCTAGAGCCGATCTAGAAACTTACAATTACCTGAATATTCCTGCTATATACTCACTCCATTCCTTGGGCCCTATGCCCTAAACCCTAAACCCTGAACCCTAAACCCGAAACCCCAGAACACTCAACCCCTAACCCTCACCCGTAGCCCTAAACTCTACACCCTAAACCCTCGTTTGGTGTTTCCATTCTCCCGGCCCCACTCCTCCGCAGGAAATGCTCCGTAAGCTCGAGAGCCAAGTCGTGGCCTACGACTGCCATTCCAACATACACGCACATCGCCAATCATACATGTTTACGGTTTAGGGTCTGGGGTTTAGGGCTAGGGGTTGAGGGATAGGGCTTGAGGGTTGTGGGGTTTAGGGTTTGGGGTTCTGGGGTTTAGGGTTAGGATTGAGGGTGATGGTACTGTAGTTGGTTGTCCTGTTGAAAGACAGGCGCGAGGCCTGAACCCTACATGAGACTCTCACCGCCACTTGGAGGTTCATGGTACTTCTCAACCAATGATGGCTGTACTTTATGACCCACTTACAAGCCCCTTAAGTGCCCTAAGATGGTTATAAGTACAGTTATAAGTACAGTTATAAGTACAGTTATAAGTACAGTTATAAGTACAGTTATAAGTACAGTTATAGTTGGTGAATAAGTACCATGAACCTCCAAGCAGGACATGCCTGAGGCTTATGGCGGCCCGCACGAACCTGTGGTGTCAGTGGGGCATGACGCACAAAAAAAAGCTTGCTACTGGGAGTTTTAAATTCCTAAACCCTAAACCCTAAACCCTGAACCCTGAGCCCTGAACCCTGAACCCTGAACCCTAAACCCTAAACCCTAAACCCTAAACCCTAAACCCTAAACCCTAAACCCTAAACCCTAAACCCTAAACCCTAAACCCTGCAGCCGCCAGCCCCCGGTCTGAGTTCAAAGCTCGCGCGGTACAATCGGCACAGCCGCTGCCTTGACTGCACAACTTTCAGGACTAAGCTCACAGAGGGTTCAGGGGTTAGGGTTTATTTAGGGTTTAGGGTTTTGGGGTTCGGGTTTATTTAGGGTTTAGGGTTTAGTGTCTAGGGTTTAGGGTTTGTTTAGGGTTTAGGGTTGGGGTTTAGGGTAGTTGTCTAAGTTCGGGTCCCCTTTGTGGGTCCTACGTATAATGCGGCACCCTGATAATCAGGAACCCTAAAAGGGATCCTACTTTGGAGAACTACCCATTTTCTGGTGGCGGCTGACAGGTCCTCATGCCCTGATTAGGCCTCCTGCAACCTTTCGCGGCACAGGCGGCGCATTCCCTAAACCGTAACCCTAAGCCCCCTAAACCCTAAACCCTAATTAAAACCAAAATCCAAAACCCCAAACCCGAAACCCTTAACCCTAAACTAAACCCTCAACCCGGACCCGAAGCCTCTCCGTAATCCCGGGCTTCCCCGCCACAGCTTGTGTCGTGGCAGAGCCGCGGCGGTTCCTCTGGTATTGAAGGACGCGATGCGGAACGCGGCATTCGGAAAGGAGGTGTATGCATACGTATATGTATATGTATATGCATATGTATATATGCATATAAGTACAATTGTACAAATTAAACATAAATTCAAATACAAATACAAATATACATATAAATGTAAATTTAAATGCAAATACAAACATATGAATACAGATAAATATAAATTTACATGTATATATATATATATATGTATATATATATATATGTATATATGTATACATGTATACATGTATACATGTATATATGTATATATGTATATATGTACATATGTACATATGTATATATGTATCTATATATATACACACAGAATATTGCAACCAAAGTCGTCCGCCTCGACGGACCATGAGACTGCCGCCACGAGCAGGTTCCTGCGGCTTCATGCGTGCCGAAGGAAGTCCGCTCTCTGAAGGCATGCTTGCGTGATTGGGAGGCGAGGCGGTGGACTGCGGTGGACTGCTTTTTCTTGGCCGTTTCTCACGGCAAGATTCTTATCCTATGTAGGGCTCAGAGAAGGCCCGTGGCTGCTTTTTGAAGGACGGCTCCAATGAGACTTCTAGCTGCACACCTGCTGCTTGTCAGGGGCCAGCAGGTTCAGGCTCAGAATCTTCAGGTTCAAAGACAACCTTAGCATCTCAGGAGCGCGCTGCTTGAAGGGGCAGCGCTGAATGAGTTTGCAGGATTCTGTAGGGACTGGCTAGACTACTCCCGCGTGGGCAAGCAGCAGTGGTAGTAGCAGTGGGGCCCTGACAAGCCATGCAGCAGTGGGCACCAGTCGCGTGAGATACCTGGGCGTCGTTGCCAAAACATACGCCCCGCGCCGAGTGTTGCGTGGCTTGGATGCAGCCGACTTGCTGAAGCCGAGGCCCTATGCGCTAAGCTCTAAGCACTATAAGCCCTAAAACAATAGGCGAGCATCAGCAAATGGAAGGCTTGGGGATTGGCTGCCGGCGAGCACCCTTGGCGTAAGAGAGGCAATCAGCAGCCTCACTTCAATAGCTCCCAGGGGTGGAACTAAAGCACGGTTCTTGTTTGGGGCGCCTGTAGTATCTACCAAATATAGACAACAAGCTTTGTGCATGTTGTATAGAAATTACATGCATATGTACATTGTATATGCCTTCCAGAGATGAATGGTCAATGCCTGAGATAAAACTATTGCCACATATGACTTGAAACTGGTTGAAACTGGTTGTAGCAGTGATCTGTCATGCACACCTAATGTGGGGGAGGTGTGCGGGCATCGTACTAGGCACGGGACCTAAAGCCGTAAACCCCTAACCCTTTTGAGGAGGCTCCCGTTCGATGTTCGCCCCAATGATCCCGACATCTCCTAAAAGGAAGACGCAATGAATACGAGGACCCGTTGTGATGAAAGGGTATACTCCTTCGTTCAGTTCCTTACTTAAGGAACACCCGCTACATCGCAGTAGGATCCCAATCTTATATGAGATACATTCCCTAGGCGTTTCTTGATGTAGGGTCCCTTTACATATTACGTACATTCCTGAAGTACTTCCCTTTATTCAGGGGGATTTTGGCTCACACAGAGCATCTTCGTGGGGCCCAGGCGTGCTGGCAAAAACCAAGTGTTCGCAGGCCTGGCTCTCACGGAGTCTTGCTTAAACCTAAACCCTAACCCCACACCTTAAACCCCAAAACCCCAAAACCCCAAAACCCCAAACCCCCAAAACCCCAAACCCCCAAAACCCCAAACCCCCAAAACCCAAACAACCCCAAAACCCCCAAAACCCCAAAAACCCCAAAACTCCAAAACCCCTAAAACCTCTAAACCCCCAAAACCCCAAAACCCCTAAAAAGCAACCCAGAGTCGATCAGAGTCGGGTTGTTCTACGTTGTGGGCCCCTTTTTTCGGGTCTCCACGCTACACGGGCCTATAGAGTTGAATAGGGATTTTGGGGGGGTTTAGGGTTTAGGGTTTAGGGTTTAGGGTTTAGGGTTTAGGGTTTATAGTTTAGGGTTTAGGGTTTAGGGTTGAGGGTTTGTGCCTCCTCTTGTGGGCTTTTGAGGGGCTCTGGGGTCTCCAGAACTTCTTCTTGCGGGGGCTTAGGGTTTAGGGCTTAGGGTTTAGGGCTTAGGGTTTAGGGTTTAGGGTTTAGGATTTAGGGGGGCTTCAGGGCATTTTGGGAGCTCCCTTGGGGGCTTTTTAAAGGCGCTTGGGGCCTTGGAGGCCCGTCTCTGGGAGTCTGTCTTTTGGGCCTAGGGTTTAGGGTTTAGGGCTTAGGGTTTAGGGTTTAGGGTTTAGGGCTTAAGGTTTAGGGTTTTGGGCTCTTTTGGGAAGGTTTGTTGTAGCCTCACATACAACTTCTATTTATCCTGGCCTTGAGTGGTTAGGGCTTAGGGTCACAAAAAAAAGGTCCCAGAACCTCGATCTGCACATCCTCGGATGTTCCCCCTTATGCTAACAGTCCTTTATAGGAATTCTAAACAAGGGGGTACTATAATCTACTAACAGTCCTTAATCGGGATGATAATAGGGGGTACCATAATATGCTATCAGTCCGTAATAATAGGTGGTACTTTCCAGAGAGCGCACCGGATGGAGGAAGGCACCGAACTGAGCATCCTGCCTCCAGATTCGGGTGACGTGGCTCATGGATTTATGTCTCGATTTGTGGGTTAGGGTTTAGGGCCCTAGGGTTTTGTGATTATGGTTTAGGATCATTTAGGGGGCTTTCCGAAGATTTCGGGGTCCCTTTCTCGAAAGGGGCAGTGTCCGCTAGTTAAGCAGGGACCCGAATTTTGGGAAACTCCTGTGCAAGGGATTCTCTGAATTGCGGGCTGGAAAACGACATGTATAAAAAAGTTATCTCACATAATATATGTATATATATATATACATATAATATGGCTCCATATTATTGTAGGATCCCCAAAAGGGGCCATAATCAGAGCATCTCCCACGCGTTCTTATCTTGCAACGCGGTTGGCTCCTGACTCCAAGAAGAAGTGGGCTTTCCGAGGCAGCCTGTGCACGAAGGACGAGGAAAGATGATATCATGAACACATCATGGATTAGGCCTCAAGGTTTAGGGGGTTGGGGGTTTAGGGTTTAGGGTTTAGGGCTCAAGGCTTGGGGGTTTCCTTCACCAGGCTGCTGAAATACTATCCCAAGGTCTTGCCAAGGTCCTGCTGATGACTTCGCATGGCCTACTAAACTCGAATAAACCCTAGCTACCCGAACTGCCCTGAACTGAAGCCTAAACCGCAGAAAAGACCAGCAGCAGATGTCGCCTCGAGAGGCTGGGTCATCTGAGCAGCTTTGTCCTGAGAAGCTGGTGGGTGCCTAAAGGAGCTGGGGGGGTGGGGGGAGAGGGGGGTGTGGGGAGGGGGGGATGGGGAGGGGGAGTGGGGTGGGGGGATGGGGAGGGGGGGTGGGGGGGGTGTGGGATTTACGTAAGGCACTCGTCTAACGAACCAGATGCTCAACTGTCGCTCCTTTTGTTTGTTGGTTGCATTCTGATCTTCTGACCGAAGAGAAGCCCCCTTCTAGGCCCTAGGCATACTAGATTCCTCGGCTATTTCAAGCAAGACAACCAAGGTTCGAAACCAAAGTGTCTCTACGCAGGCCCATACTGTACTAGAATACTAGAAGCCAAGTTGTCTGTTCTCCCTCCCATCTGATGCTTGCGCCAAGCTCCGCGCCAGCAGCAAAGCTGCGGAGCGTGTGCAGCCTCATAGGGCAAAGAGTATGGGAGGCCGCATCTCAAGGCACTCGAGCCGGAGCAGAAAGACAGGGTCCAGGCTCACGGTGCCATCGAAGTAGGGGGGCTGCACCTCGGGAACCATCGGATGCTGTGCTGAGCTCCGGGTGCGTTCTCGCAACTTTTTGTGTCGCCTCCTTTTTCCCTCAGCTGCCTCACAGCTTTGCCGCCCAACTGCGACAGAGGGAGCCACTCGTCATCCTTCCATGTGGGCGTGGCACTAGGAAGCCATGGCTAAACAAAGTCGGAGGAAGGTCCGGTCCTCCTTGCCACAGCCATGGTAGCGGACCTTCACCAAGACTGTGTCTTCTTCTGACCTGACACGCAGCACCTCGGCAAGAGGCAGCACGCACCGGCGCACGTTCAACATGACTCGGCTCGATGTTGCTTACATTGCTTGGCACTTGTCTGCATGATGCTTGCATGGCCAGCGAAATAGAAATCTACCTTGATGCTGAGACTGCAGCTGAAGCCTTGTAGCGTAGGCCATCGCTTGCAGACCTGAAGTACTGATCGACTCAGAAGGCTGTGAAAAGAATCTCTGCCCTGCGCCGCGAGCCTGGCGCCTTGTTGAGACACGGAGGCAAGTAAATCCTCTGAGTCCCGAGCCTGGCGTTCACCTGCGCCAGAATGCTAAACCCAAACCCTGGCCTAAAAGCCGTAAACACCATGAGATCAGACACCCGAAGCCCCCCAAGCTCCTCAAGACCCTACTGTAAGGCCTAAACGAGCACAAGCCTATAAGGTTCACATAAAACCCTTAACCCCTACCAGCCGCTCGTATGTCATGCAATCGCGCCGTGTGGCAACGCACTGCCGGCTGATCAGCCTCGGTGCCCTTCTCGAGGATGGGATCACAAGCCTTGCGCTTGGTGCCCACTGCACCTTGCAATGTAGGGGATAGGATCCAAGGAAAATTTGGGGATATAGACCCTCTGAACAATGTCCCTGTTTAGGAGAACCAGAAGAGGGTTAAGAAGGGTTCCCTTTTAAGGGTCCCCCTTATCCTACCTAGGAGCAATGCAGGAAGATGGCTGCTGGGAACTCACCCTCTCCACACAGCACGCGGGGATTCACTCTCGCAGCCCAGCAGCTTTCTTCCGCCACTGCCTGGCAAGGAAAGGCACGAGTCTACAAAACTGCCCTGCTCAACAGCAAGGCCATTCGTGTCCCACTGAAGCCAGCAATCTTACAAGTATTCCTAGATCCTAAACCCTCAACCCTAAACCCTAAAACCCAAAACCCAAAACCCAAAACCCTAAACCCTGGCCTGGTTTGGCACCATCGGCGGCGACGGTTCCGCAGCCACAGCGGGCACAGGGCAGCAGGTGGCTTCAATCTGGTTGGAGAGATTCGATAGGCTTGGTTTGTGCAAGGCTCTGCTCCAAAAACTTTACTTATCCTCCCCTCAGAACCGCAGCGGAGTAGAATTTAGCAGGCATACCCTAAAAAGAAATCCGCCGAGGCCTCGGTTCAGAGAAAAAGCTCCCCCCCAAGCCCAAAGCCACATGTCGGCCCATTGCTACCCCCCCCGCGCGACCACGATCTGAAAGACGGTTCGCCAGGACCAGACGCCCAGCAGGTCCCGCCCTCCCTGCCCCCCTCCCCTGCCCCCCGGCCCCGTTTGAGCATTATGTTACGAATCCTGTCCAAGCCGAACCGTCTAAACCCTGAACCTTGAACCTCGGGCCTTGCACTCGAAACCCAAAAACCCTAAACCCCAAACCGTAAACCTTGAGCCCGAAGCCCTCAACCCTAAACCAACCCTCAACCCTAAACCCTAAATCATAAACCCGGAACCCTAAACCCAACCCTTATTGCTTGGGGTCCAGCGACATGGGCGCTGCGTAGTCACCATGCTCACGCGGATGCGCTGGGCCGGGCCGAGGCGGGCCGCGTATCGTTAAATTACGGGGGTTTGGGTAAAATCCTTCCTTGTGCTCTCCCTTTTATGGGTTAAGGTGACCCTAAACCCTAAACCCTAAACCCTAAACCCTAAACCCTAAACCCTAAACGGTTGTCCTTGGACTATAGAAACCATCTGCCACTTGCAGCCGAAGCGCGACTTCCCCCAACACGAGATTGACCCGTTTGCGGAAACCTCGGATCCAAGTTCTGCTCGGAAACCTCCGACATGAACTTCCCCTAAAAAGCCTTAACACACCGTTATTTGCACACACACACACACAACACACAATAAACAACAAAAACAACGAATGAAGCGGTAAAAGACAACAAATGGAGAAACAATGTATATATATATATATATAGATACAAGGGGGTTTCCGAACACAGGGGTATCCTTTTGGAAAAGGATTCTATAGCATTTTGGGGTATAGAAGGGGTTCTCCCTATTTTCGGAAATCCCCATGTATACACTAAGCTATGACTTACGGAGTCTTCCTCAGCTTAAGGGGTGTTGGGTTTGTCGGCCCCAACCCACGCGAATCGATGTGCCAGGCTGCGCCAAAGCAGCTCCCGCGCCCTGCGCCGCAGCTCTTCACTTACCAGCTTTTCCCAGACTGCCTGGGGCTCACGGGCTCCCCTACTACGCCCCCATTTTTTCTACTCCTAGGTTACCCCCATAAGTAAGGCTAGACTATTTAGGGATTAGGCAAGCCCAATTAAGGTTACTTTAGGGGGGAAACCTGAAAAACCATGAGGGAAGCGCAAGAGGAAGACCGCTCATACGTGATTTTGCTTGAAGGATGACATGTTTGGGGTGCTTCTCAACATAGGGGGTTACCCCGCAGATACCCCAACTCGAGTCTAATCCCCTTATGAAGGACCTCCACAAAAGGTTACACCTTGGGAAACCCTAAACCCTAAAGCCCTTAAGAAGGACCTCCAAAAAGCCTACACCTAGATTGGGAAACCCTAAACCCTAAACCCTAAACCCTAAACCCTAAACCCTAAACCCTAAACCCTAAACCCTAAACCCTAAACCCTAAACCCTAAACCCTAAAAGCAGAATTTTGTAGATTGGGAGCCTGCTCCGGTGTAGTGATCTCTGGCAGACACAGCCGGCGCCTGATCGCGGGGGGGGCGGCTTGTGCTGACCCTTACAGCCCTAAAAGGTTAAACCCTAAGCCCTAAGCCCTAAGCCCTAAGCCCTAAACCCTAAACCCTAAGCCCTAAGCCCTAAGCCCTAAGCCCCTGAGCCCCTGAGCCCCTGAGCCCCTGAGCCCCTAAGCCCTAAGCCCGAAGCCCTAGGCCCTAAACCTGTATTAGATCCTAAACCGGTGGCGAGCCTGTAAGCCTGTTGCTCGGACTCCTCCAAGAAGTGCACCTGAGGGAGCAAGAGTCCCTAGAAGGTTGTTTAGGGGTTTAGGGTTTAGGGTTTGGGGTCTTAGGGTCTTAGGGTCTTAGGGTCTTAGGGTCTTAGGGTCTTAGGGTCTTAGGGTCTTAGGGTCTTAGGGTCTTGGGGTCTTGGGGTCTTGGGGTCTTGGGGTCTTGGGGTCTTGGGGTCTTGGGGTCTTGGGGTCTTGGGGTCTTAGGGTTTAGGGTTGAGGGAAGGAACAGATAGAGGGCTAAGTACCCCACCTACCCATTGACCACCACCACCATCATCATTCTTCTTGCGGTACGCTTGACGGCCTGGCCCTAAACCCTAAACCCTAAACCCCAAACCCCAAACCCCGCCCTTCTTTTCAAACTCCAAGGGCTTCTTTGAGCCGCCAGTCGGCAGAGACTGGGTGGGCAGGCTCTGCAGAAAGCCAAGGACACCGGAATGCAATGCTAATAGGGCTATACTTTAGGGTACCCCGATTTGGGGGTTTAGGGTTTGGGGTTTAGGGTTTAGGGTTTCCGAAAGTAGGACTACCCTTTTTGGGGGGTTCCGAGAAGAAGGATGCTTACTATTTTGGGGGGTATATTAAGGGTACCCCCTATGATGGGAAATGCCCGTATTATGTGGCTGTTGGTGAAGACTCAACGCGCTTGGGGAGATCTATGGCTGCCAGGGGAGGTGCTTTGATTTATGAGACAGGGATAAGAACAGGGTTTAGGGTTTAGGGTTTAGCGTTTAGGGATAAGCACTTAAAGTCTTCCTCCAGCAGCCCGTCAGCTTCTCTTCTGAAGGATTGCTGGCACCTTCTCACCATCGTAGCCCCCTTGCATCTGCGCCACAGTCCCATCATCTGCAAGCCTGGCCACGGAACCGTCGGACTGGATCTTGAACCTGAAGGTTTTCGTACTCTCTTGAGTCTTGTTGTGCACCTCATCCGTGACCTTTGAGGCGGTGAAGGTGAGAATCTGGCCTGCCACTGTGTAGCTTCCCTCATAGTTCTCGTGGTCGCCTGGGCTGTCCCGAAAGCAGACGCTGCACTCCTTGACTGTAGCTTCCGTGGCACCTTTGATCGTGAGCGTGAGGTCATAGTCCCCCCAATCGCCGTTGCTGGCGGAGCCGTGGTAGGTTCCGGACAACTCCAAGGTGGCAATGGCGGAGAGGATCCTACTTCGCTCTTCGGCGGAGAGATCCTTGACGGAGTCTTTCATTTCTTCTAGGCTCGCCCCTTTCACGCCTTCCACAAGCTTCGCGGACGCGGCACTCCCCATGGCTGGTATAAGGTATCTGCTATAGCTGCTCAGCCGATGACTGCTGCGGTGCAAACGGGTTCATCACCTTAACGGTCTAGTGTTCATTGAAGTCGGCCTGTGGGAGATGTTACATTAGGCGGTTATATGAGAAATCCTAACAGCTGGACCTTAGGCTTCTCTTCCGATGCCTCGGCATGTATCCTAAGGATCGTGGATTGCGGGTCCGCATTTACGCCTTGCAGAGCCTCAGTCATGGCCTTCACTGTCCTATGTTCAACCCTAAACCCTAAACTCTAAACCCTAAACCCTAAACCCTAAATTTCATTTCGTCTCTTGCGGGATCGGGATGGTGCTTGTTGATGGTGATACGTCTTCGATCCTGAAACGGGTTGTGCAACCCGATGTTGACGTCGCTAATGAAGCCCCAGGGTGGAGACGGACGCTGCATTGGTCCGTATGATACTATAATAGGGGCCCTACTGCGGAATTATATATATATATACATTATATAAATATAGATATAGACCTTAGACGAAAAAATAGTCTAGCGGAGAATTAATCCGTCCCTGACCCCTTCCAGCGGATCCGTAAAGTTTGGGCTGTAGGCTCTAAGAGGCCCTAAGCATACGGCTCGGTGGAATAAAAGGAACCCATGAATGGAGAATCATAATTTAGAGAACTACCCCCTCCCTCCCCCCTGCCCCCCCCTATTTCTTCTCCAGAAACCAGATGATTCTAGTGTTCTCCTGCAGCTTTGGAGGCCAACATGTAAGCTTGAGTTCCACTATCCATCCAAAAGGAAGTTCGATGCCCGCGCTCTCTGAGGACAAGGCAATCTCCAGTTGTCGCTGAAGGAAACTCAGGGCCCCTCCAGCCGAGTTCCATTCCCGCGTGAAGCTTGCTTTGTCTGGCAGCGGCAGAGGGAGAGGGCATGTCTGTGCATCAATGAGAGATTGTGGCCCTAAACCCTCAACCCTAAACCCTAAACCCGAAACCCTAAACCCTAAACCCTAAACCCTACACCGCCTCCATGCGAGAGCATGCTGCGAACTCGACTCGCTGCCTTCCCAAAGTTGCCATCCTGCAGCACGCGCTGCGCATGCGATGCCTTCGGATGCCTATCCTACAAGTAGGAATGAGAAACTCGGATCGGTTTAGGGTTTAGGGTTTAGGGTTTAGGGTTTAGGGTTTAGGGCTTAGGGCTTAGGGCTTAGGGCTTAGGGCTTAGGGCTTAGGGTTTAGGGTTTAGGGTTTCGGGTCTTGGGTTCAAGCTGGCCACCAGTTCTGGGCTCTGGCATACGCATCCCAATGATCTGCTGCGGCTCCTCTAGCTTTGCGATTGCGCGCCGCATCTTCTCCGCCTCGTGCGAAGATGAAGAGAATCGAACGCATCACGAAAATGAGCTGACTTTGCTGGATGCCATGCTCTGAACATTCTTTCTTCTTCTCATTATTTTTGTTAACATTATTTACCTGCTTTTTCGGAGTTGCTCAAAGAAGAACTCTGAAGCAAAAGGTGGCGTGCCAGTGCCATTGCTGGGATCAACTGAATTCGCAGCCTTCTTCACGAAGGGCGCACCAGCTTGGAGCGTGAAATCCACAGGCACGGCCCAGCCATCTTGGCTGAAAGTGTAAGCCCCTGGCAGCAGGGGGGTTGGGGTTTAGGGTTGGGGGTTTAGGGGGTTTAGGGGGTTTTGGGGGTTTAGGGGGTTTAGGGGACTTCCCCGAACGTGAGCTACGCCCAGACTTGGAGCACGGCAAGCTGTTTAGGGCCAAGTTTAGGCGTGGGATTTATGGGGTCTTAAGTCAGGAACAAGCATTGTCCCTAAACCCTGAACCCTGAACCCTAAACCCTCCCTGCTAAGGCTACGAAATTCCTAGAACTGGCGTCCACAACCTGTCGGGCCTGTCAGGATTACAACGTCGGCTCCCTTGTCAACGCCGGACAGCACCTCCGAAAGAATCACACCCGATACTGACAACTGGAAACTTCGGGAAAGTAAACCCTAAAACCCTACAACCCTACAACCCTAAAACCCTAAAACCCTAAAACCCTAAAGCCCTAAAACCCTACCACCCTAAAACCCTAAAACCCTAAAACCCTAAAACCCTAAAACCCTAAAACCCTAAAACCCTAAAACCCTACAAGCCTAAAACCCCAAAACCCTAAAACCCTAAAACCCTAAAACGCTAGGGTTGGGTTTAGGTGTTGAGGTTTGGGACAGTTGCGGTTGAGGGCTTACAGGTTTAGTTAGAGGGTCTAGGGTGCGAGGGTTGAGGGCTTAGGGTTGGGGGGCTAGGGGCCCAGAACTTGCTCTGCAACAAAAACCGGACATTCTACTGGTGCCCACAATCAAGCATAGAGGAACTTCTTTGACTAAACCCTCAGCCGATGTAGCGGAGCGCTGGAACTTCCGAGGATCGCTACCTACTGTTTGCTCTAGAACCCCCCCAAAAAATGAAGATAATAATCCCTAAATGAACCTTGTAAGGAAGAATATACTGTAAACGTAGCTAAACCCTTAGCGTCCAGAAGTTTAAGGCGGCTTCCGGTTGGAGGCGAACGCTGCGTTCGATAGAACCTCCAACCGAAACCGAACACCCAAACCGGGTCGCAAGCGATCGAAAAGCACGAGGTGGTCTCTCAAAAACAAGTACGTCGAGGCTTGTGCCCCAACCCCCCATCGTTGTACAACATTCCACGACAACGGAGTGCTTCTTCTTGTGGACATGTGGAAGACTTTCACCGCGCGCAAAACATAGTTCAAGACATGCCTTGGACAACACACGCAGGACAGAACGCGGCGGTTCTTAACTCCCAGGCTGCCATTGTTTACTGCAATAGAGGCAGATAGATTCACATAGTTTAGACCAAGCAAAGCCTGAACCCTAAACTCTGAACCCTAAACCCGAAAACCCAAAGCTGAACTACAGCCTCCTCCAGCTTGTGAAAGGGACCATTGACGACTTCGGAGCCGTGGAAGAGAACCTACATCGACATCCGATTCTGTGAGAAGGCCTGCGGCCTAGGGCTTGGGACTGTTTTGGGCCTTCTTGTTTAGGGCTTTGGGGGGTTCAAGGCCTTGTGGTTCAGGGTCTGGTGACAGCTTTGCATGAATGTGTCTGTCCTGCTCAAAGCTACCACGCCAACAACGCAGCCTGGGCCCGTGAAACAGAACTTGTACTAAAGTCACCAGCATAGTCACCAGGAACGGGATATGTGATTCACGAAACTCCCCCCCCCTCCATCATTGAACTAGCACTTGAAGCTCCTTATAACTTAAGAGCCCAGTTGAGTAGTGCAGATGGCGCCTTGACGTGCATGATCCTCGCTATTCCGCACAAGGTTCGCGCCATCTGAGCAAGGCGCCAGCTTGAGCTGTCTACTCTGGCATCTAGGAGGAGGAGGGGGGGGGTCGATCTCGTGCAGGTTTTGGGCTTGTGTTTGGGTTTCTTTGCTTGTCTATTTATTCTTGTTTTTTGGCTTTCTTGGGCTTTTTAGAATGGCTTTCTTGGGGGGTTTTGGTTTTGGAGTTGTTGTCTGGAAGGGTTTGAAGGATTTGGGGGTTGGGGGGTCTGTCTTATTGTCTTATCTATACTCCCCTTAGACCCTTACTAAAAGCAATATTAAATCATCTTGGGTTTTATATAAACAACAAGAAAGAAATAATTCCCAAGGGGGAGATAGTTATCCTTGGCCCCAGGCCGCATAAAGACGTCGAACATCTTCCAGCGAGATAGTTTTCGACGTTTCTGATTTCCTGTCAAACTACGATCCAACCGCTGGACTTCTGCATGCAACCCGACCCTGGATGGGTTTAGGGTTTAGGGTTTACTTGAGGGTTTAGGATTTAGGGTTTGGGATGTAGGGTTCAGGGTCCTCTGCAGATAGATCAAGTCCGCTTCGGCGAGATATTCCACCTTGGCAGAGCTGAGTTTCAAATCGTCACACCATTTTATTTGTCACATCACCGACACAAAGCTAACTTGTTTACAAGTAGTGAGGTAGCTACCCACTGTTGAAACGTATCTTGTCGCGTAGCCGAGCAGCATTTTCTGGAATGCTTCGGCGCAGAAAATTGTATCCAGGAAAGTTTTTCTCGTGCTCAAAACCCACTGACCTGGGAAAGGCGTGGCGCACTTCATTGCTCATTGCCAAAAACACCCGCGGGCATCGCTGCTTCAAGAAAATTAAATTTCGACGGGAAGCTGTATGTGCTTCCAGAGCTCCTGCTTGCGGGGGTACTGGATTGCCTCATTTGTCAGGATGCCTACTCTTGCCGGGGACAGCTTTCCACTCTCACGCTCCCACTGCAATGCCAGTGGGGCACATTCAGGATCTGCTCCAGGCTGTTGGACCCCATCAGCCAGTTCGGCTGGGAGAGGCTGCAGGGCCATCGTAGCAGGCGCAGGGAAGCATACCAGGCGACGGATGACACATGCTGGGGGAAGGCATTGCATATGACTCAGCAGCGGTATATGACTCGCTAGCGGTTGCCCGGTACCCGATGTCCGCCATAGCAACCATGACATGAGGGGTGCACAAAGGTGCAGCCAGAGTACTTAACTTGACAGGGAGAACCCTAAAGCGAAACTTTCTTTGAAGTGTTTGCATAGTGCCCCCTTTTACTAACAGTCATGAAATAGGGGTTTGTAATAGGGGGGTACTAGAATCCCTATGAAGGACTGTTAGTATAAGGGTGAACATCCCAATGTTTGCGGCTTATTTGCATACATCCTCCATGGTCTCCTGGGAGCTCCGGCATGCCCCATATCTTGGGCGAAAAGCTGCAGACACTGACTCAGCAGTCTCCTGATGTGCGTAAGCCAAGACTGAAGAAACATTGAACTTGGGATGTTGCCCCTTATACTAACAGTCCTTGATAGGGATTTTAGTACCCCCCTGCTGTAATCCTTATAAAGGACTGTTAGTATAAGGGGGAGCATCCCAACATTCAACGGTCTCGTCTGCTTCATGGGCCCTGGCCATCTTGTACTCGCCCTCTTCCTGAAAACGCAGCATCGCAAGCAACACGTGTATCGCGCCCCAATCGGGGTCTCCTTCTTATACACCCCCCCCCCTTCCCCACCCAAAGAGCTTCAATACGCACTTTATCAAAATATAGGCCATAGTTATTAGTAGCTCATGTTAGGATCTAATTCCTAAACCCTAAACCCTAACCACCTCGACCCCTAAACCCCTGAACCCCTACTCTCTCTAACGGGGTATTGGGCTCCCACCCTTTTATCAAGGAACAGACCATACTAATAAATCCTGAACCCTAAGCCCCTATTAGGCAGAATTCCAGGGGGGGGAGTCTGGGTCAAGGGCCAGCTCCACCAGGCTTACGGCGAGCTGTGACAAGATCTTCTCCAGCGCCAGGACCACAGCATCCTCTCAGAAGGCACCCCAAATCCTAAACCCTACACCTCAAAACCCCAAACCCCAAAACCCTAACCCTAAACTCAGAGACTCAGAGACGCCCTGAAAATTGCATATCATTCGGTGGTTGATCTAATTTCTGGGACCTTTTTGGCAGCCTAAACTAGAAAGGAATCTAACTACGCTGCTGGAGACTAGATCCCCCCCCGTCCCCCCCCCCCCCCTTTCGCAGCCCACTCGGCAGTCTTGAGGCACCCGCATATCCGGTCGACTTTGCTTCCAGCCTCTCATGCATGCAAAAAGCTGAAACTGCAGCAGGCTGTTCTACGATTTGCTTACGAACCCCCCAACAAATAAACAAATATTCCCCATATTACCTTATAAGGAAGAATTTTTGGAGTTTTGGGGGTTCTTAACCAACCCGCTGTGTTTTCCAGAAGGTGAAAGCCCACTTGAGCTACGGATCCACGAGTCGGAAAGCAACACGAAGCTTCCGGCTGACTGGCTTGACTGGCTTGACTGGGTTTAGGGTTTAGGGTTCTGGGTTTAGGGTTTAGGATTTAGGCCCCAAGCACCACCCCAACACCAGCGCCTGCTGATGCACCTGAAGAACCGATTGAGCTGCTGCACCTGGCGACGAGGCAAGGGCAGATGGAACTCAAAGACCTCCTGTACCTACCAGTTGCTGAAGAACCCCCCCCAAAAAATTGAAAAACATATTCTTCCTTATAAGGGCAATATAGGGATTATTATTTTTAGTTTTTTGGGGGTTCTTAAGCAAATAGTAGGTACACATGCAGTTCTCAGGCACCCTCGTCTGATCCGTGGCCAGAGGCGAAGGCAGGGCTCCCGAATGCTCCATGATGGACCTGGCCACCCACCACAAAGAACAGCCGCAGGGTACATCTTGGCCATTCTTGGCCCATCTTCAGCCACGACTCCCTACTGGCTACCAGTTGCTTAAGAACCCCCCCAAAAAATATTCTTCCTTATAAGGGTAATTTAGGGATTACTAGTTTGTATATTTTTGGGGGGGGTTTCTTAAGCAAATGGTAGCTTGTAAGGCCCTATAGAGGGCGAGGTGAAGATGAGCTGCCGAGGATGTCCCCGAAGCTCGGACCTGGCAACCTCGGCTGTCTCCTGCTCGCGCTTCTTCCTAAGCAACGCATCGGGTTTAGGGTTTAGGGTTTAGGGTTTAGTGTTTAGGCTTTAGGGTGAGAACCTCACTGTGTCCAGGGGGGAGGGGGGCATATGAAGCAGGGCTTATGTTCCTGTTGTTGGTGAGTGGGTACGAGGAATATAAACCCTGCTCCAATATGAGGGCTCTCTGAGGCCCTGGCCCTAGCTCATCACTCCCTGCCTGTGTGCTTCTGAAGGAGATTAGGGTTTAGGGTTTAGGGTTTAGGGTTTAGGGTTTAGGGTTTACAACCTTGCATTGGGCAGCTGCCGTTAAGCGCACCTCCTCATCATCCTCGATCTCTTCCTGTTTTTGCTCCATGGTCTCACGTTCCTATACAGGCCAGATGACACTTCTCTGCTCCCTGAGCGATTCAGCTGAGAAAATGAAATTGGCATTGAGATGTTCGCCCTTTTCCTAACAGTCCTAAGTAGGGATTATAATAGGGGGTGCGATAATCCCTATTATGGACTGTTCGTGTTGAGGGGTAACATCCCAAGGCTGGCACATGTGATGCCTTCTTCCCGAGGCTGTCATTCGCCTCCTCCTGCCTGGCGTGCTGTCGGATGTCGTCACTTCTCCAAACTTCCAAGAGTTTAGATTTCAGCACTGTACTATTCTATAGCATTATATGGTATTATAGATGTATAGTATTGGAGGATTAAAGTGTTGTACGATTATAGCACGGGTTCGCTCCGATCCGCAAACTCTACTTCGGATACCCAGGAGGTCAGCCACTATGAAGAGAACTACCCATGTAACCTTGCAAGCATAGGCTAGGCTGAGCTATGCATCTGGGAGCGTGGGGGGCGCTCCGCGGATGAGAGACCCATGATGCTTAAGTGTTTTCTGACGCACATGTACTCAATCCCTTGACTTGAGGCAGAAACCTTCCACGAAGATTCTCCAGGAGCCAAAAACCCCCCCAAGTTAGGGCTCCAACTCTTCGAGTTTAGCTTCGTGCCGTGACACCGAGCGCTTGAAAGCTCTCCCAGACTAACAAGATTTGCCACTCGATTGTATATTCACGCAATTTCGCAGGTCCTGTCTCATATGTGTTTGGTCATCTTCAGAACGGTCTATCTTGTCAATTGACCGAATGTGCGGCCCCAACAAGGCCTGGCCAGCCCCTGGCGGACTTGCTGCAGCCTGCAAGACGGGAAACGCTGCGGCAGCCCAGCGCTTGAGTACGAGCAAGCAACACCAAAAGCGGTTCAGTGGCAGCCGCCTCTTTTCCACCTGATCTGATGTCAGCTCTTCGCCTGCGATCAAGTAGATAGAATCGCGGGCAAAGCTTGGAGGTGTAACTCTTGTACAAACTCATCCCAAACCCTGAGCCCCTAAACCAGAGACGGGAGCCAAAGCATCCAAAAAATATGACTGCTTCGCATTTCGTGGCAACGACAGTTTCGACGATCATCCATTAGATTGCCAAAGCCCTAAACCCTCAAGCCCGAACCCTGAACCCCCCGCCCCCCAAACCCTATACAGCCCCGAAAATACATCCTAAGTCCCGGAGCCCCGTCGAACATGAGACCCTGAACCGACCGTCCATGAAAGCGACCCAGTCTGGAGGAGGGGCTCATTCCTCCCCCCTCCCCCCCCCCCTCCCCCCCCCCTCCCCCCCCTCCCCCCCCCTCCCCCCCCCTCCCCCCCCCCTCCCCCCCCCCCTCCCCCCCCCCCCCTCCCCCCCCCCCTCCCCCCCCCCCCCCCCCTCCCCCCCCCCCCCCCCTCCCCCCCCCCTCCCCCCCCCCCTCCCCCCCCCCCTCCCCCCCCCCCCCTCCCCCCCCCCCCCTCCCCCCTCCCCCCCCCCCCCCCCCCCCCCCCCCTCCCCCCCCCCCCTCCCCCCCCTCCCCCCCAAGCTACACAAAGCTAGCTTTCCTGAAAATTCTGCAACAACCCTCAAATCCCTAAAGCCTAGACGCAAGAACCTCTGACACGATCCTGGCACAAAATCCTAAGAAGAAGAAGAAGAAGAAGAATACACATATAGCAATAGTAATAGCAATAGGAATAGTAATAGTCATAGTCAAAGTCATATATATATATATATATAGTAATAAAGCACGTTCCATGCCTGTGGCGGTCTGGACCGTAATTCCGCCCGCGGCAAGTTGCAGGGCCCGGCACCGAAGCAAAGCCATCTCTTGGACGGCGCCCTCGGTCACAGCGTCGAGAAGACAGCGAATCCGTGGTTTAGGGTTTAGGGTTTAGGGTTTAGGGTTCAGGGTTCAGGGTTCAGGGTTTAGGGTGACTGGTATGAGCCCCCAACCCCGAGCCCTAACCCAGCGGCCTGACGCAGGGAGGATGCGGCCCACAAAGCACGCAGCAAGCGAGTGCCCCTGAGGCAGAACGGCTCTCTCTCCCTATCCAGTCAGAGCCCGGTCTACTACACACACACACACACACGGCCTGTGTGAAGAGTCTGCGCTGCAAATTTCAGCTGCATGTTGCTCCTGATCGGATGATCAAGTGAACAGCCTGTCTCACATTCTGCCGGAGACTTGCGATGCGAGAGAGCTGCAGGGTTGATCTTAATAAAGGGCTTTCTTTGGTCTTTTGCACTGTCGCAAGATACTCCTGAAAGTTTGAGAACAGTTGCCTAGCTTAGATCATTTTAGATCACCCAAACCCCTAAACCCTAAACCCTAAACCCTAAACCCTAACCCCGAACCCCTCACCCACAACCCTAAACCCCAAGCCCTCCCACCCACCCCCAAAAGCTGCTCCTCCTCTACAGCGGTCAGGCGTCCCGGGTGGAAGGCGCTGTCAAACCCCAAGCCCTCCTGGAGTCCAAGACTGAGGGTTTAGGGTTTAGGGTTTAGGGCTTAGGGCTTAGGGCTTGGGGTTTAGGGTTTAGGGCTTAGGGTTTAGGGTTTAGGGTTAAGGGTTTAGGGTTTTGGGTTTAGGGTTCTCTAAATGATGTCTTTTTTTGGTGTACCCTAAATCAAAGGGCCGCCTTGTAGTTGGGACCCCAAAAGGGACCATATTTTAGAGGAGTGACCATATATCAATACAATATGATACAGTATGATACAACATAATACAATATGTTACGATATAATACGATATAAGACAATAGACTGCAAAATCAGACAATACAATCAAATCAGATAATACAATAGAACATAATGCAAGATAATGCAATACAAGACATCAGAATACAAAACAGTACGAGATGCAACAATAGAAGAATACGTGGAAGAATGAAAGCATAGAAGAGTATAGTAATGATCGCTAGCTAGCTAGAACAGTGCTTTAGTTTTCAATATAACTTCTATGCATGCCCATGGAAGCCAGAAAGGAGTACCAGAAGCAAAGCCAATGCGCAGGCACAATTGTTACTATATCAGAAACTGGGATGCCTAAACAAACTCGTGAAGCACTCTAAAAGAGTTTGGGTTCAGGTTTGTAGGTTTGCTTTCGGGCTGAAAGGCCTCATATTGGGTGGGGTGTAGTTTAGAACTTGTAAGGGCGTAGAGGGTGTTCGATGCCTCTGCCTCTGGCTCTGCACATAGTTCTTGCAAACGCGCGTGTCGCACCGAGCCCCAACCGATCTATTGATTTAGACATCTCACCCCACAAGACCCTTGATTCATTGGAAAAAACTTCTAGGGAGATGCATAAGGGTTGCCGAATGGATATCCGCCGAGGCCTCGGCCGAAGGTGTATAGGGTAGGCAGAGCCCTTTTTTACCTGGAAAGGGTACCCCCCCGTGGGCGACCACAATCTGAAAGCGGATGGTTTGCCAGGATTAGAGGGGCAGTTGAAGCCCCGCCTAGCAGGCCCCCCCCCCCCCCCCCCCCCCCCCCCCCCCCCCCCCCCCCTTCCCTGACCTCCCCCTAAACCCCAGACCGTGAACCTTGAGCCCTAAGCCCTCAACCCTAAACTAACCCTCAACCCTAAACCCTAAACCCTAAACCCTAAACCCCAAGCTCCATCGGGCTGAACACCTAAGCCTAAACTAGCGTAAATCCTAAACCGCGAGCCTCAACCCTTCACAAGGGTTTAGTTTATAGTTAGGGTTTCAGGGGTACCGTACTAACCAAGTAGTGCACCTCCTTCCATCATTGCCTCACACTGCCAGGCTGCGATGATGCACTTGTCACCCATCCCCTTCCTACACGTCAGAATAAACCCCATATAAACCCTAAGCCCTAAACCCTACTGTAAACCCTAAATCCTAAACCCTCCGTGCGCCTCCATCCACATGCGAAGGCGAACATGCTCTTCCTGCGCCAGGCCGATCTGCCTCAGCAGGGGGGGGGGGGGGACTCAGAGTCAGGAATCACCAACTATGGCATCACTGCAGACTCTAACCTTTTTGGGGGGGACCCAAAGAACCCGAAAGTTGGAATCAAAATGAGTGATCTCCCTTAATGGACCCCCTGAAGCCTAATGCAAGTGAACTCTTGAAAGGGATCCCTGTGATCCCGCATTCTCGGAACATTGCCGTCTCAGCTGCGGATGCCAAAAGAGCCAGGCACCTCAGCGACTCATGCAAGCATTGTGGGGGGGTGGGGTGGGTGGGAGGGTGGTGGGAAAAAGGGGGGGGTGCGAGGGAGGGGGGGGGGGGGGAACCCCTAAACCCCAAACCCCAAACCCCAAACCCGAAACCCGAAACCCGAAACCCGAAACCCTAATCCCTAAACCCTAAACCCTAAACCCTAAACCCTAAACCCTAAAGCCTAGCTGCGCAAGCTGTGCCAAGGCACGCAGCAGGCTGAGCGCCGGCTGGTGCAGCCAGGGCAGGCGAGAGCTGGCCATGACACAAGACTCCTCAGGCATGAAGAACTTGGGACTCTCTTTACCTATACAGTCTAATGGGTTATACCTCTAATTGAGGGGTAGTTACTACTAAAACTGTAGGTAAAACAGAGTCCCAGGAGGAGGTTTGTAGCATGTCAAAGCGCATGTCAAGGGCATGAGCTTTGCCTCTGAGCTGTCTCGCCGAGCGTCAGCCAGCGACAGGCCGAATTCTTGAACGAAGCTTCGCAAGGCATGTCGTGGATCAGGATCCTCTCCTCCGAGGCTCCAATACCCCTTAATGAAGGAAAATATTCCTTGAACCATACAAGGAACCCTCTTTTATTTGAAGGAGTTTTCCTCAATCAAGGGGTATTGGAGTCTCTGGGTCCTCCACAGCCACAGGGAAGTGCGACAGAGCCCATCTGGGGGGTTTCCGAAAGTGTTTTACCAACATGTTGATAAGTGCGAGCGCAGCGAGCGAAACACCGGAGTATATTCAACATAACCACCTGATCAAGTCTTGATTTTAATGAGTTTTCAACATTTTTGGCAATTTATAAATTTCGGAATTTATGTTTTTGCCACGTTTCTTGTTTGAGGTTGCTGAAAATAGGGGTACCCTTTCTGGGGGCCCCTTTGAGGGGATTCTGTTCTATTTGGGGCCCAGAGGTACCCCTGTTTTGGGAAATTCCCATGTTTTGTTGGTCTCGCAAAGGTCTGCAGTTCTGGTCCCCTCTTTCGTCCCTGAAATGCTAATGCCCCTTATGTTGAGAGTCTCCAGGACAGGGGACCATACCTTCATAACCCAAAAGCCTACCTTTTTTTGCAGGCTACCTAAGAATCCCATGAAGGAGTCATTCTCACCATCAAAAAAATCTGGGTTTGGGGGTTCTTGAGGTACAGCATGCAAAACGTAGTCCTTGTGAGCCAATCTGCCTGGTCTGCCCTAGCTAAACCCTACATAAACCTTGTACCAACCCCATGAACACCCTTTACAAGCCCTAAACCCTAAACTCTAAACTCCAAACTCTAAACCCTACACACACAAAAAAAAAATACGACCCTTCAAGCCCCCAAGAAGCCGTCTCCTGGGCAGCCATCCGACTGGTCCACCCAAGCCAAGAAAGTGCTGCTGGCCTCGGCCAAGGGAACTTGGCGTGTGCGCGCCGGGGGAGGGCCGTGGGTTCCTGGAACCCAGAAAGCCCTCCAGGCTTCAAATCAAAAGGAATATGCATAAATGTATAAGCTATAACTTTTAAGCATAAATATTATGTATGCATGTACTAATATGTTACAAGGACCGCCATGTTGCTTTTTAATGCTTGGCAAATTCGGGATTGAGGTACCTCAGTGCAGCAAGGGCACCCAGAATGCACGAACACCTGAGTTGGGCTATGCTTCTGTTCGCTATCCAGGCGCATGTGCTGGTTTAATCGCCTAAACCCTAAACCCTAAACCCTAAACCCTAAACCCTAAACCCTAAACCCCCCGCAGACCGGGCCTAAGTGAGTTTCCACCTCCGAGCGTATCAGCGGCCGCGAAAGCAGCACTGCACCGCCAAGCAGCTCCGCCTCCAGCAAAGACGTCATGTGGTTTAGGGTTTAGGGTTTAGGGTTTAGGGCTTAGGGCTTAGGGTTTAGGGTTTAGGGTTCAGGGTTCTGGGTTCAGGGTTCAGGGTTTAGGGTTTAGGGCGGTTGTCAAAATGATGGCCCCTTTTTGGATCCCTATTATAATACGGCACCTAATATTTAGGGTACCCCAAAAGGGATCATAATTTTGACAACCACCCATGTGAAGTAGGGTGTACTGCGGACTCGAGGTCGTGAATCATATGAAGGTGAGACAGCTTAGATTTGTGCTAGGGTATATATTTCTTGTACCCCCAGAAGGACACCAAATATTTGCACTCACCAATGTTAAACAAGGAACCTTATATACACTCACCAGTAACAGAAATATAAACCCTGTGTCGATGTGCATGCGGCCATGTGCTGCCATCACCATTGCTTTCACATGCTCGCGCTCCCTCCACACATCGAACTTACCAGGATGGGCTATCATACCCAAGAACCCCTCAAGAAAGGCCCTTTTGTAGGGTTGATTATAAGGGGATTATGAGGCTTAGGGTTTAGGGTTTAGGGTTTAGGGTTTAGGGTTTAGGGTTTAGCCCATCCCGGTGCTCTCTTGGTGGCCTGTAAAGCTGTCAACTTGCAGTGGTCCACGGACACGCGGAGGCGCTCGCGCCCGCGCTCGGATGTAAAGCGCAGCACTTCGAACAGCCTAAGAGCAGGGGTTTAGGGTTTAGGGTTTAGGGCTAGTGGGATACTTGTGGTGCGCTGTAGGATGCCTTCTGCTTCCCTCCCTCAAAAATAAATAGGGAGGGCTTCGACATCACCATCGTCACGAATGGGCCAGGTGGCCAAGATCGGAAGGTCTGGCATCTGCTTCGTTGACCCTCCGCAGCCTCCAAACACATGCAACCTGCTCCATGTGGCTCCATGCTACGTGCCAAGTGGTCATTTTCCCAGAATAGGGGTACCCCTAAAACCCCCAAAACAGTTTACAGCAATCCTATTTGTAGGATCCTTATTTAAAGGAACCTCCCAAACAACCCTAAACCCTAAACAAATCCTAAACCCCAATTTTGTGAAACTCCCCACGTGTATTGGCGTCCTGATCTCCTGGCAGTGCAAGAAAGCCGGCGACTGCTTGGCTTTCCTCCTGGCTCTGCGAAGCTTCGTAGCTTGGCATGTAGGGTTTTGACAAGGGCTTGGGGTCTATAGGGTTTAGGGTCTATAGGGCTAAGGGTTTAGGGCCTGTAGGGTTTAGGGCCGACGGCCCTAAACCCTAAACCCTAAACCCTAAACCCTAAACTCTAAACCCTAAACCCGGGGGGTTTTATGGCATTTGCTGCATCATCTCTGCGTCTGCGTGCATCGCACCTCGAACATGGCCGGAGATGCGTTGTCACTGGCGAGGATGTGCAGCCTCGGAGTTGCTGCTTATACACAGCCTTTCAGGCTGACTAGTGTTATACATACATATACATATATACATATAAATATAAATAGAAACATAAACATAAAAATAAATGTAAATACAAATATAAATATGAATAGTATATGTATGTATATATATATATATATATAATATTCTAGAATAGCCCCGCATTCCAGACTTGTGCCGTCCCAAGCTGCAGCCACTGGACAGCGGAGCCGCTGAGAGGCCAGGGCTCCACCATCCTCGGCACTACACAGAAGGATAAGGGTTTAGGGTTTAGGGTTTAGGGTTTAGGGTTTAGGGTTTAGGGTTTAGGGTTTAGGGTTTAGGGTTTAGGGTAGGTGGCAAGCGACGCACTGCACCTGCACACCGGCATGGTGCAAGGGACATCTGAGCTTCTGATGGCCGAGGAGCAGCGACCGGAGTGAGTCCAGCACGGCAGTGGTCATCGCCGCTGGCGTTCTGCGCGCAGTATCCTGCTTGCCAGGGAGGGCGACGAATCAGGATGGGCTATTAGGCCTCATATTCCCCTTAATCAACCCCATAAAAAAGGGACCTTTTTGCCTGGTTACGGGGCATAATCGTCCATCCTAGAATCCAATCCACACATGCCACAAGGCGCTAACTGTCTCAATCTGGGCTCCCAGCCTCAAGCATGGGCTCGTCCTGCTGACAGGGCACGCTGCGATCGCTCGGCACTCGGATGATAAGTGGTTGGCGCTTGGCTATATGTTCTTTTCTCTCTCTAGATACACATATGCTATATATAATATATATACTATATATACATATTATACATGTAAACGATGTGTACTATGTAATAGGCTATGAAACATATAGTATATGGCACACTACTCCAAATCTTCGAAAGGAAGTTTCCAGCGGCCCCTCCTGCTGTTGGTCGTCCTCATTGGCGCCACGGAGAACGAACACCACAGGTTGAAACGGTGGCAAGGAGTTCGTGACCTGGTTTAGGGTTTAGGGTTTAGGGTTCAGGGTTCAGGGTTTAGGGTTTAGGCTGGCAGCTTGGGGGTCCTGGCACAATGCACGCCATTGCGAAGATGTCTCATATGGGGGTTGACGAAACTGGGGGACCCCCAACCCCCGAAATCGTAGGATTCCCTTAAAACAAGAACCCCAATCAGGTAACCCCCAATTTCTGAACACCCCCCCCGCCCGCCCCATATGCCAAACTTGTGAGCAAGCTGCCATAGTGCGCATGGTCTGCATCAAGTCCACCACTGACAGTCGCATCAGGCACTGCTCCTCGGTCCAGGGAACAGCGATCGACTCCACAAGTCACCACAACTCAACGGGACATTTCCCCCGAAATGGGGGGCAGCCCTTAGATGCCCCAAAGATAATAGAAGTGGCTCACCATGATTTTCGGGAACCCTAAACCCTAAACCCTAAACCCTAAACCGGCACTCTGAGCTCCAAGCGATGGCTGGCAACTCCCGAGCTTGCCGGGCACACTTCCGGCGTTTCGCCCGTGCAGCGCTGAGAGACACGAACTCTGCCTCACAATCCCGAAGGTCCATGCACCGACTTCTATATATAGGGTTTAGGGTTTAGGGTTTAGGGTTTGGGGTTTAGGGTCTAGGGTCTAGGGTTTTAGGGTTCAGGGTTTGATTTCTATGTGTTCCTCAAAGCTGCGATTTCGGAACCCCTTGGAAGCCCTAAGTGTATACCACATAGGCACATGGACCCTGAGAACGTTTGAAGGAGCATCTGAAGCTTCCCCATCCGGTTACCATGCAACAGCTTAAACTTGGGCAGGCGCCTCCTTTGACGACACTTCCCCGGCGGAGTGGTACCAAGGCTTCTCGAAGCGTCGTTTCCTCTTAGCCGGGGACCCATCAAAACTTGCTCTAATCTGCTTCCCTCGTGCCGATCGTGCCGAGGCACAGGCAATCGCATCATAAGCCACTCCTTGTGGGCCAAGTCAGCTCTCACAGTTTTGTTTATGATTCATGTACTCTCTGTGTGCAGGGTACATGACTTAAATTTGAGAGTTCATGTGGGTGGTTGTCAAAGTTATGACCCCTTTTGGGGGACCCTGAAAATATTGGGTGCCGTATTATAATAGGGATCCAAAAAGTGACCAGAATTTTGACAACCACCCTAAACCCTAAACCCTGAACCCTGAACCCTGAACCCTAAACCCTAAACCCTAAACCCTAAACCCTAAACCCTAAACCCTAAACCCTAACAAAGGCTCCTCATCCTCCGAGACACCCTCGGAAGTCTTGAGCTGGGCAAGGACCTCCCGAGACCTGAAGGACCCCCCCCCCCCATGGGGCCACCTATATCAGCGTAGGCTTTAGGGTTTAGGGTTTAGGGTTTAGGGCTTAGGGCTTAGGGTTTAGGGCCCCTTTTGGGGTTCCTGTTGTACTGAATATTGTGAGGAAGACACCCAAAAGGGACCGCAACTGACACGATTGAGCATGTGCACATGCACTGGATGAGATTTGTGCCGAGTGCTCACATGCATACGCTTAGCTTAATAATAACAATTACCAATACAACGAAAAGAATGATAAAAATAAGACTATAACAATACTAATGCTACTAGTAGTAACTCTTATTTAATCATAACAACAACATGCCCTGCACAGAAGGCCTCTCCAGCTCGCCACATCGAAAGAGCGACTGCGCCAGCTTGCGTAAAGACCTGGGACTACAAACCCTACACAAATCAGGGTTTAGGGTTTAGGGTTCGTAAGGGTTTCAAAAGGCTGGAAATCATCCCTGAACCTTGGGGTGTTCCCCCTTCCACTAACAGTCCTTAATCGGGATGATAGTCAACCCTATTGTAATCCCCATTTGGGACTGTTAGTATCAGGGGGAACATCCCAACCTACACAGATCATCGCTGAAAACCCTGAAACCCTAAAACCAGACCCTATACTAATCTGCCATAAACCCTAAAATCAGGGTAGCTATGGCAGCCTTTCTTTAGGGTACTTATAACACCACATAGAAATAATTATTCCCGACCCTAAAACCTAAAATCCAGAAGTTGCGTGACGTTGTTGGCGCAGAAATGCTTTCAAGAAGCGCGGTGTCGGCTGGCTCCAGACGAAGGCACCGGAACAAGGCCTGCAATGTCACGATCGGCCTTAAGAACCCCCAAAGGAGTATGTACATATATATATATATAGATATAGATATAGATATATATATGTATATAATAAATTCTCTATATTGCCCGCATAGGGAAGAACACTTTTGTCAGTTCTGGGTGGGAGGTTCTTGAGCAAATAGTAGTCAAGTCATGTTTTTTGGAATGGCTATGCCTGTTGCTGCTATGACGATGACCACTACCACCACCACACACACCTCCACTACCAGCATGGTGACTTGTTTTGAATTATAAACGCTGTCTTTTTATGCAACTTCCCCAGCGCAAAAACCCAAAAACTCAAAAAAACCCAAACCCAAAAACCACAAAACCCGAAAACCTCAACCCTCAGATTGAACCGGGAAGCGGGGGGCCTGCACGGCAGCCTGCCAGTCCTCAGCCTTCATGGCGCAATCTGCCATTCGTCGCAGCAGCGGCGCCAAGGCGTCTGGAGAGCCCGGCTCCTGCTTGGCAAGTGGCAGAGGGGAGTGCAAGGTCAGGGGTCCTTTACGGGGTTTTGTAGGAGTGAGGGTTCCTTCTTCAGGAGTCAGAGCTTGTTCCCCTTGCTGCATTTGAGGCGAACTCTGTTCTGTCCATTCTGCGCCATGTGCCATGCCGCACAGAAAAAACTCTGCACGCAGAACTGGACTTTGTGTTTCTGCTCAGCCAGCTGGTACTGGTCGGCTCCTTGGCTACATCTCGCACGGCACGCTGGAGGCTGGCAAGTGCCTGGAAGGTGGCAGAATGAAGGACATGGAGACCGAGCCTCCGAGATTAGCAGGGATTTAGGGTTTAGGGGCTTTTAAACCCTAAACCCTAACCTTTTTGGGGCTTAGGGTATAGCAATGCCAGTCGTTGTCCAAGGTGACGAGCAGCTGTTGCCCTTGTGTTGCATTCACAGCCCCCCCGATACCCAATGCTCAAAGTCGGGACTGTGTCACATGGACCCATGCCCGCAAGATGAGGGAATGAGGTACCCTATATAATCCTGTAGAAATATAATATGTATAAATACATAAATAATTAAATGTACATATATATATATATGTATACATACATACATACATACATACATACATACATACATACATACATACATACATACATACATACATACATACATACATACATACATACATATATATGTATGTATGTAGATATACATATTGATTTTATTTGCTTATTTGTATTTATGTATATATATATGTAGATTTATGCTTGTTTATACATGTACAGAGGGGGATACAAGGCACCTAAGTCCCTCATTGCCTACTCAGAACCTGCTTGGTCGCGCGGCCTGCTTTGGCTGCCCGAGCTGCTGCTGAGCTTCAGCTAAGTTCTGCCAGCACAAGGCTTTGAAGCGGCGAAGCCACAATCGGTCGCCTGGGCAACCCAAATTGTCTTCGGACAGAAACGAACCATACCCGAACCCATAACAGGATTTGACATGTACTTTGAAGGGCACGAGGAAAACTTATGCAAGCAAGTTGATGAAGGGACCTATACTTTGCGAAGCAGAAACATGAAGGCAGGTTCTCTAGGTAGCGCAATGCACAACACAGGACACCACACGCTGGTAGCATTTACACATGATATCCTAGGTGCTGGCTTGTAGAATGTAAAGATAACCGACATGGGGGTTTCCGAAAACAAGGGGGGGTACCCTTTTTTGGGGCTCCTTTACAAGGATTCGAGTATTTTGGGGTTATTACAAGGGGTACCCCTATTTTGGGAAGTACCATATACAGAAGCAAGGAGTGTGCCCCTGGCGGCAACTCAGCCAAGAGAAAACAAGCGTGGCGTGTCTTCCCCGGTGTGCAAGGCCCCAGCGCGCGCAGCTGCTTTGCACAGCCACGAGGTGCTTCAGGCTCTGCTTGGCCTCCGGAGCCTGGTCAGCGGGGTTGAGGGCTTAGGGTTTATAGGGTTTAGGGTTTAGGGTTTAGGCTTTAGGGTTTAGGGGTTTAGGGTTCAGGGTTCAGGGTTTAGGGTTTAGGGGGGGGGGGGGGGGGGGGGGGGGGGGGGAATGGGCCGCGGGATCCTATTCAGAGCCTTGCCCTCGGAGATGGACTTCAGCGCTTCCTTCAGGTGCTTTAGTGCTTTCGACTCTGCCGTTGCAGAAAAAGCTAGCATGGCAGGAGCATTGGTGTGTGAATGTGATCATTAGGTACTTGCTGGGCCTCATAGCTCTTTCTCAGCTGGGTCCGATCCACTCCATCTGAAGCTTCAGCAGCCTCGCAGGGAGCCGACCAGAAACGCCGAAACAAACAGCAAGCCTGTAGCCCACTCCTCGTCTGGAGCCGAACCGAACTGCGCAAATTTCAGCATCGCCCCTGCGACCTCAAGCATTTTGGGGTTTAGGGTTTTGGGGTTGGGGTTTAGGTAACTGCTGCACTTGCGTGAAGTGCCCCGGCCCTAGCAAGTACTGCTGCTGTGGAGGAGCAAAAACAGTTGACATGGCACTAGCAAGCATGACTCGGGCGAACCAACCAGACCTTAGGCCTATAGTTCACTCCGCCACCATTCTTCCCATTATGACTGTTACAAATAGTTACTATGACTCACTATGACTGTTACAAATTGTTACGAATAGTTGCTATCTTAAATTATCGGGACCCAAAACCGCCTAAACTGTAAGAAGTCTGGGCCCGCGACATTTGTTTCACAGCAGAGCGACCCTTTTGCCCGTCAGTGCAGGCTTCGGGCCATTCCACGGTCGCAGTCTCTACTCCTTCTGGGTTGATTTAGGGTTTAGGGTTTAGGGTTTAGGGTTTAAAGTTTAGGGGGTTTCTTTGCGACCCCCTCTTGGGATCGGCTTTTGGGTGTGGGTGGATACTGCAAAATTGGCTTTCCTCTCAAAGCTGCCGAAGCGTGCCCAGGCAATCAACCACTTCTTTGCATGGGCATTGGGTTTAGGGTTTAGGGTTTAGGGTGCACTTTCGTACTGCTCATTTGGGCCAGGTCAAGCATGCTTGGCTGCTGTCTCGCCGACCGCCTCTGTGCATTTGATGGACCTCTAGCCCTCAACGACTTCAATGCACTACCGAAGTGTTCTGAACATGGCAAAGGCTTTGTTCCGCTTGTGAAGCGACAATCGTGCACGCCACCACCTGGCGAGATACTCTGGGGTCAGCCCAAGAAAGCAAGTTAACACTTCTCTGATCCAGAAAGCTACAAGACCTGAGGCATTCGCCGATCATCAGCCGTTGCGTGTTGTCTCCATGTCCGTGTCAGCAACAGGAACCTGGCAACAGGAGCACATTCATGCTCCTGCTTGCTTGAAACATGCAGGTCCCATCTCTGCCACTGGCCTCATCAAAAGAAGCAAAGTCTTCTAGGCCTCGTCCGCTTTGGTCAGAGGCCTGCTGTTACTTGAGGCAGAGCGCCACCATGCTCAAGATGTGTGGTTTAGGGTTTAGGGTTTGGGGTTTGGGGTTTAGGGTTTAGGGTTTAGGGAGCCCAAAGTCAGAGTCCTGCTTCACTCAGGGCAGGGCGACGCCGAGCACTGTCGGGGTTGGACCGGATGAGGCCTCTGCTCAACTTCACTCACCCGCCCCCCCGAACCCCCCTCCCCTGAGAACCCTACAGAACCCCTACACCCTAACCCTAACCCTAAGTCACCCTCCAGCAGCGCAGGTTTGAGCTATCCAGTCCACCGGGGCTTGTGCAGGCTTCGCCGGTGCGGACGCAGGCGCAGCATCGCCGCTGCACTCCTCCTCGTCGTCCTCCTCCTCCTCGCAAGGAACATGGCCCCAAACGGGCCCTGGTTGTTGCACTTCAACACTATTGCGTGTCTCTCTGCTGCGCAACTCCGCGCCTTCTGTGTCTGTTGCGAAGGACCTGAGGACCCATGTCGAAAAACATGTGACTTGCTGGACTCACTTGCCTGCCAGGCCGACCTTGCCAAGGACTAGACAAAAACGGTCGAGTTGCCGAGGTTAGCTTGCATGTAGGGTATGGAATGACTTAGAATATCTTGTATGCATATTCGCGGAGCCTGCATCATTGCTGGAAGGCTCTCTGTTGAGATGCCGGTGTGGTCGACTTTGGAGGAATCCGAGGGTGTGGCCGCTACTGCGTCGAAAGGGAATGTATATCGTAAAACGCCGAAACCCTAAACCCTAGGCCTGACACGACATCACAATGTCCAAGCTGCTTTGGTCTGCAGGATCTGGCAAAGTGTCCTCATCGGCGTCCTTTTAAGTTCCAATAGCTCAGAGCTCACTTCGGTCATGCAATGTCATGCAGCAGTATGATACTACTAAAGTATTCTTAAAATGTACTACTAGACTATATACTATTGTTATAGTAGACTTGGTTCGTATATGACAGGCGTTGCAAGTCCTGCGGCAGGACTTCGTAGCGGAGGGATGCCAAGGAGTCTACGGCCACCGACTTGTTCTTCAGTCTCGCCTCGCATGTTGCCGAGGACTACAGTACCAGTCAAACTCCCACGGGACCGCATGTGCTCTTGTTGTATGAGAAAAGGGAACTTTAGCAGCTTAGAAGACTGGTAGACTAGCATATTGCCATATTCGTAGATTTGTAAATTTTTGTATATGAAAGACTATATATACAAAGATTGGTATATTTGCAGATTGGTATTCGTGTATTCTAGGAGTGTATTCGTATAATCCTATATTGCTCTACTATTATATTGTTCTAGTTTTTATCATGTATTCCAGCCCTGCTGGCAAGGTGCGTAGATGAGCATCCCCGCCAGCGCCTCGTCACTCAACAACGTGCCGAAGTGTGGCCACTGTCTGGTTGCGTGTTTCGAAGCTTCGATAGTCGGTTCTTGTGGTAGAAAGAATGCTTCAAGCTGAGTCACCAGGAGCAGTCCGCTCCACTGTAGGGCTGTTGTCTTCTCGCCGAAGACGAAAATGGAAAAGAGGATCGTCACCTACGCTCTGGACAACTTCAATAGCCAGCGCAGGGCCAAACACTTGCAGGGCCATTCACGTGCTTACACTGAGCTGTCGGCGATGGACTTGAGATTGCCGAACACCGCCAGGGTTAAAGAAGATCTCGGAACAAACGCAGCGCGAGTAGTGGCTGACACCGAACATGGCCACCACAGCAAGCTCAACATGTCCCATCTCCTAGAGCCCCTTGCCGATCCTACTAATTAAGGAGTAGTTACTACTAAACTGTAGGTAAATAGAGTCCCAGGCAAACCCTGAACCCTCGACCGCAATGTCAAGAAATTAGGCAGAGCGGCGTCGCTTTCACCAGCTGGACCTGCCAGGGCCATCGTTTCTGAGGATCTGTATGTATGTTCTTCGGGGTGGGGGGGGGGGGGGGGGGTTGGTGTTCTGAAAATTGGGTTCTGGGGTTTCGGGTCCAAGGTTGGAAGTACGAGTATCTTATGGGGGGTTCTCTCTTTGAACTCTGGTCCCTTTGTAAGACGCCGTCAGATGGCAGCCTATATGCAGGGTACTCTGAACATTGGTCCCTTTGTAAAATGCTGTAGTACGGCCGTCCTTATTATGGCCATCTAGTCATTTGTGGCACTATATCAAGCTAAGATAGACCAAAAGCGAGTAGCCCATCGAAAGGACCATCATTTCAGGAACCCTAAACCAAAAACCCTAAACCCTAAACCTTAACCCCTAAACCGCTAGACCCTAAACCCCTAAACCCCTAAACCCCTAAACCCCTAAACCCCTAAACCCTAAACCCTAAACCCTAAACCCTAAACCCTAAACCCTAAACCTTAAGGTTTGGAGCGCCAGGGCCTCGACCAGGAGGAGGAGGAAGGCAAGGAAGCCTGGAAGCAGCACCTTGGCTTCGGTTTGTTTTTGTTTAGGGTTTAGGGTTTAGGGTTTAGGGTTTAGGGTTTAGGGTTTAGGGTTTAGGGTTTAGGGTTTAGGGTTTAGGGTTTAGGGTTTAGGGTTTAGGGTTTAGGGTTTAGGGTTTAGGGTTTAGGGTTTTTAGGGTTTAGGGTTTAGGGTTTAGGGTTTTTTAGGGTTTAGGGTTTAGGGTTTAGGGTTTAGGGTTTAGGGTTTAGGGTTTAGGGTTTAGGGTTTAGGGTTTAGGGTTTAGGGTTTAGGGTTTAGGGTGTTAAGGGTTTGTGGGTTTTGGGGGTTTACGATATTTTGATTTTAGGGGTTTTAGGGTTTTAGGGCTTAGGACTTTTAGGATTTGTTTTGGGGTTCAGGGTTCTTGGAGTTTAGGGTTTTAGGGTCTTTAGAGTTTAGGGTCTTTAGAGTTTCTTTTTTGGGGATTTGGGGGGTACAAGCAACTACGTGCCATCACTTCATCATCATCATCATCATCATCATCATCATCATCATCATCATCATCAGCACCATCATCATCATCATCATCATCATCATCGTTTTCTCGTGACTCTATCAAGTTAAGGCGGTAAGGGTCTAGGGCTTGGGCCCTGCTTATAGGGTTTCGGCGGTTAAAGGGCTTACTCCCTTAGCCTTGGTCTTCCGGCTTGTGCGGCAAGCCCACGGCTACCAAGTAGGGGAAGCTTGACCCAGAGCAACCCTAAACCCTAAACCGTAAACCCTCAACACTACACTAAGAAGCACCACGATGGCCTGGAACCCAAGATGTATTGCGAACAGGGGGGGGGGGGGGGGTTGACCTACATCAAGGGTTTTACAACGATAAGGATCTATAAGGCTTCCGGGTTTAGGGACGGGGTATCGCTAATTTATACATATTTCTACCAAACCTCATGTGGAGAGCAAGTTACTCGAAGGCCCTACTGCGTTACTGTATGCTCTAATGAGGGTGCTTAAAATGGAGTGAGGGACTGGAGCCTCACAGCAATAAGTCGTACCCATTTTCGCTCCCACACTCCCCAAGCTAAGCACCTCTAAGTTACATGCCAAACCCTAAACCCTAAACCCTAATTCCGAATTTTTTTTCTGTTAGCGCCTCGCTGCACACTGCCCCCGTCCATCAGGCCAAATGTCTTCGATTGTCAGGTACACCCGGTGGTGCACTGGAAGCAATGCAACAAAGGTCTTTCTGTATGGCGGAGTTGGATAGTCCGTAGTTTGTGATTGCAGAGCAACCCACACACTTCGGTTGAGGGAGCCCTCCAGGGTCCACTGCACAGGATCTCGGGGACAGAGGCCGTCATAATCACAGGTGCGTCCGTCATGCCTCCCGAAATTGCGATCTCCTGGCTCCCTTGCCGTTGCCCAGCGGAATGCATCGATTTCTGTCTCCACACCAAAGTCAAACTCCAGCTGGGTGCCAATAACTTCAGCTACCGATGAGTTTAGACTCCCATCTAGGGCCCGGGCATGCGAGATGCTCGAGACGAAGGCCACGCCTTGTGGCACAGAGAGCTCCTCCCAAACCCCGCCATACGACCTTGACCCGGCGTTGAAGGTGGTGATCCGTGTCCAGTTGCCGGCACTATGGCCTTCCAAGGCAAGGCTGAATGAGGCATAATCCTGATCCTTGTCGCATTTAGGGTTTTCTTAACATTAAAAAAACCCTAAAAACCCCTGAAGGTTGTTTTTTAAGGTTGAAAAAACCCAAAGTGCATAATCCTGGTCCTTGTCCTGCAGAATCCGCACGCACTTCGCTGGCGTCGGCATGGAGAAGTTCAGGCCGATCCACTGCGTGTCGGCGCGGCACGGGTTTCGGCAGTCGGCCCACCTAACTCCCCTTAGAACCTTAAAAAAATATGTGTTCTTAATATCCTTTTGGTTTTTATATGAACAAAAATAAACAAATAATTCCCAAGGGGGATATAGCCACCAGTTAGTGGTAACATTGCCGTCGAACGCATAGGCTGCAGGCCCGTGCAAGTCAAAAGTCATCGGGTCTGCAAACGGCCTCGACTGCCAGTATGTTCTCGGAGTGTCATGCAACCCCATGGGGGCTGTGTGATCCACCGAATGGCCAAACCCCTGAGGGAGACTCGAGGAAGCAATGGCTGTGCCATTTGTGAGAAGCGTGGTGCAGTTTGTGTCGTTGTAGAACTCCAACTCCCAAACGCCCCAGGTCTGAGGAACATCCATCGCGTTCACGATCCTGTAGGCGTCGAAGTGCGAATCCGCCACTTTGCGCGTGCTGATGGGTTGACCATGCCTCCAGAATTCAAGCTCGGCGATCTGGAAGAGCGGAAACGTGCAGTAGGTCGCGCCCAGGTGATCCGGGATGCAATATCCGGATCGGCACTCTGTGTAGTCCAAGCAAAAGCACCCATCCTTGGATAGCCCTTAAACAATCCTCTGAAAGAATATCCTGAATATGATCATCTTAAACTTCAAACCCAAAAAGGGAACATGAGATGTCCCCAGGGCTTACCGAGCATCTGGCTTTAGGGACTCGGAGCAGGTGAAGCTGTTAGTGGCCGCATAACCGCGAGCCTTTGTTGCTGTCCAGCGGTAGTACCGGTAGTTTGGCACTTGGCACCACACCTCTTCGGGAACAATCGCAGGGTACTGAGCTTCACTGGGGCCGAGCAGGAAAAGCGCCTTCCACATGCAGTCGGCCAGGCCAGCAGGCCGCTAGATGTGCCAGAGGTCTGTCCCTGTTGAGTTGCTGCTTCTTGAAGAATTTTCCGGTGTCCGTGCTCAAGAAATAATACGGGCTCTGAATTTAATGCAATGCTTGGCTTAGCTCGTAAAAAGATGTCCGACGCGTCTACAAGTACATCATCAATGAGCATCACGTGACAGAGAAACCTTCAGTTGCGGCTGGAACGTGATCTATTGCGTGTTGCTGCGTGATTAGAACTATATAGAAGCTCATAAACTGAGAGCCAGCAACAACCCAACAAGCATTCGACCTCAATCAGGCGGGCGGCGTTTTTGTAGCATGTGTTGCATAAAGTCGCCACAAGACATGCCAGAAGGCTTTTGGGTTGATCCAAGTCACGGGCTCTTGTTGGCACCCTGACCTACAGTGGTTTATTGAGTTTGACGGATGACCATACTTCAGGAAACCCCCACCAAAAAAAAGGGCTACAAAACTGCACCATACCACCCCAGCACCATCACACCCGCCACCTCAAATAGATGCGCCCAGTCACTAAGAGCAAGTACTGGCCAGCCGCATTGGGCTCCGCCAGAACATGCAACTTCTCCTTCTCTCCTTGGCATGCACAGGTTTAGGGTTTAGGGTTTAGGGTTTAGGGTCAGTGCTACAACTTCTGCTGACATCCAACGTGAGCTTTGGCGTTTATTCGATGAAGCAAATACCGAAAAAGACTTTACCTTCCGCGCAACCCTTCCGCGGCTCGGAGACATGTTTTTAAACGGCGAAGATGTTTTTCCGTAGCCGGTTTCGCGGGAATCCGTTCTGTAGTCTGAGGCGCGCGTCACCAGAATTCAGCGAAAGCCTACGTGGTTCATATTATTTCAACCCATTTCAACCCCACTCCTTACTTCTGCGGACGCCCTGTGCCCGCCTGCCGAGTGCAGGAGCTCTCCACCATGAGCACACACAGTATACCAGGAACTCTCTTTACCTACAGTTTAATGAGACTTATTCCTACGAATTAAGGTGAAGCTGTAGGTAAACTGAGTCCCAGGTACACTCATCAAGCCCTGAAGCCGACCCACAGTTGAGCAGGAGGAGGTTTACGGGAGCTTGTGGGCAGCTGTTTGATTTGCTGTATTATTGAGGATGCAAATTCAGGTAGAATTAGCTTCTAAAGCTACTTCTTGCGTGCGTCAGGTTGGGGTTCAGTCGGCAACGGAGCCAGGTAAGACAAGCCGACGGCTGAGAGTTCGCAGAATCCGCGAGCAGTTGCTTCCGCGAACCCTTCCGCATTCTTCCGCGTCCACAACGGCCAACAAATCACGCGAAGTTTTCTTAAGACTTTCTGGAAGCTCTCTGCTGCATGCCGCCGAAAGAAGCCGGAACAAGGACAGCTGGGGTAACAATCGGTGCATCAAAGCATCGTGCCCAAACGAACGGCGCCAGTGTCAGCGACGAAGCCGGAGACCTCAGATTTCGTATCGCAATAAACCCTATAAACCCTGAACCCTAAACCCTGAATTTCCTGACATCATAGCACCGAGGATCTTGAAAGGCATCTTAGCCACAAAGCTCACTCTGCTGTGCTTTCATAGCCAAGTCTCATGTAGAAAACTGTCTGCATAGCCTCAGCAAACGATCAGAGGCTGTCACCATCTCCGACATGTTCTTCATTTTGAGTTTCTTGTTTATCGATACTTGATGTCACACATGTCTTAGCCGGCGGGGTCGTTGTCAATAGTGTTTTTGTTTAATTTTGGGGGGTTCTTAAGTAAATAGTAGCAGGTGGTGTCGTTGCCACACCTGTTTACCGACAGTCTCAGGCGGCTGACTCGACACACTTGATGCCGACACCGAACTAGCTAAGCCATGCGTTACATGTGGGTTTGCGAAACTAGGGGGTACCTTATGGGGGTCCTGATTATGAACATCCTATTATTTGGGGGTCTATATTGAGGTCTAGGGGGTCTCTTATCGTAAACTCCCACCGGGGATGAAGGGCGGGGCGCCGGGGAGCCAAAACTAAAAATGGTTTGAATAAGAAGCTCCTGAATTTTGTTTCGTCTGGCTTTATATAGATTCCATCTAAAATCTCATCACGAAACCGGCCCCCAAACAACTTTCCAAGGGAATAGCCCACGAGCTGCCCTGACTCGCTTTTAGTAAATTGCTTCGGTTGCCCGCATTAGTCCGCAGCCACGCTGGCCAGGGAACTACAAAGCCTGGCAAGCTTAGACCCTCAAGCTTCAAGGCTTCCCCTCAACCCTCGACCCCAAGCCGCCCTGCCCCCAGGCCCCGTCCCAGCCTATAGAGGATCCGTTGGGGAAAGGCTTCAACATATGTCTCTGTGGTCAGCCGCGTGTTACTGGGGAGATGCGACTTCGCACGCAAAGATGTGAGTTCACCTAGCCCCCTGTAAGATTTCTAAGCCCGCGCAAGCCGCCGAATCACCTTGCACCCCTAAGCCCTCATCAGCAGCCCGAGGGGGGCCTAAGTCAGAATGTTTTCATGTAGCCACCTAGGGCACATGATCTTATTCCTCGAGCTTCGGTCAAGTCACGCAGCATCGCTGGAGCTCAACTGGCCCTGACCTGCCCTAACCCCTAAACATCCAAATCATCCAAAGCCAGAAATCCTTAGGGTTGAGGGTTTAGGGTTTAGTGTTTAGGGTTCAGGGTCCACCCTTCCTTTCTTAGATCCGACTACGGACAATGATCCCCGTAGCCAGGGCAAGCAGCAGTCAGCCCGCTCGATTGAAGGGTCTTCTGCGTGGCCAGCCAGCGCAAGGCAGCGAATACTTCCGAACCTGATCCATCGACAGCGACAGCGCCGTGTGTCCACGAGCAGTGGGTCGACTGAGGCTTTCTGACTCCTTTCATTCTATTTCGATTCTACCTGATGAAAACAGGAATTACAGGCCCGGCAATGGCGGTTCTGCCGGACCACACTGCCATCCCATGCGGATTTCAGCGACATCAGTTGAGTGCCGAGGCACCGAGCACCAGCCAGAAGCCCCGCAGGTCAAAGTCTGTCTCGCCGTAGGACGTGATGAAGATTCCGATCGAAATCCTCAGTGAACGATTCTTTCTGTCTCATAAGGTTCGCTACACCACACGTTACCCTAAACCCTAAACCCTAAACCCTAAACCCTAAACCCTAAACCCTAAACCCTAAACCCTAAACCCTAAACACTGAGACTCCAACAGCACGACAGTGGCTGCAATTCCGGCAGAGCCTGAGGCATACTCACCGCTACACGTGACTACATCGGTCCAGCACAGCACGAGACAATGCGAAGCGGAGCTGCAATGAGCACTAGTGGGTTTAGGGTTTAGGGTTTAGGGTTTAGGGTTTAGGGCTTTGGGCTTAGGGCTTAGGGTTTCACTTGAAGCGGAAATTTAGGAAGCAAACTTAGGAGCGCGACATTTCTCGATGCGCAGAACTGCACCCAAGACCTGGCTTCGCGTCTCAATTTGTAAACTCCCCATATCCCTAAACCCTAAATTTTAATCCCTAAACCGTAAACCCTAAACCCTAAACCCTAAACCCTAAACCCTAAACCCTGACTTCGGAGACCCAGTACATTCCTTGTTTGTTTGGGGGAGCATTGGGCTCCTCGCGTGGCCTCTCATTCCCTCAACGCGCAAGCCTTGACTTCAACTTTCTCCGAGCTCAAGCCTCTCTAGGGTTTAGGGTTTAGGGTTTAGGATTTAGGGTTTAGGATTTAGGGTTTAGGGATATGGCCATTTCTCTAAGTTAGGGTCCCTTTGGGGGTCCTGATTAGAAGGCGGACCCTCTTAGGGTACCGAACAGGGGACCATCCCCTTTAGAACAATATGGGAACACCCAGGAGCCAAGTAGGTAGTAGGAAGGTGCAAGGCCCCTGGCACCAAAACTCCCAAACCCTCAAACCACTACACAAGTCACTAAGGAATACACTCGATTTCATATTCGAACCCTATGTCTGAATTGAGGTATATATTCCTTACTTCATGCGAGGAGAGGACTCCTTTTGCAATCGACTGCAGATTCCCTACACCTGCCTTCCTTCAAACAAGGCAACACAGCTTAAGGTATGTAACCCTGGATGCTAAACCCTTCAGCCGTACCCAAAACCCCAAAACCCAAAACCCTCAAAGCCTAAACCCCTAAAGCCTAAACCCTAAACCACAAAACCACCATGCCGAAAACTTTCTGTGGATACCTTAGCCCTTGTTGGGCTTTCGGTTTAGGGTTGAGGGCTTATGGCTCTTTTAATTGAGGATTTGTCAACCCTAAACCCTAAACTCTAAACCTGAACCCTAAACCCTAAACCCTAAACCCGAAAAGTCCACCTGCAGTCAGCAACTATGTAAAAGACCCCCCCCCCCAAAAAAAAAAGAAAAAAAAAAAAAACTCAAACCCCGCATAGATTGGGATGCTTCCCCCTTATACTAATCAGGGTTTAGGGTTTAGGGTTTACGGTTTATGTTCCCCTTGTACCTAACAATCCTTCAATATGAACTCTATAAGGGGATCCGATTATTGGGGGATCAAAGTTGGGGGGGTCCTCTATTTTCGTAACACCCCCATTTCAGTGAGTCTCATGACACCTTAAACCCTAAACTCTACCCCTAAACCCTAAACCCTAATGCCTAAACCCTAATGCCTAAACCCTAAACCCTAAACCCGAAACCCTGAACCCTGAACCCTAAACCCTAAACCCTACCCCTAAACCCCAAACCCCACCAAGGCTGTGGCCAGGATGAATATCAAGGAAGCCGACCTGCTCAATGGGGGTTAGGGGTTTAGGGCTTAGGGTTTAGGGTTTCCCCAAAAAGTATAATCTGTAGTACCCAGAGACTCCAATACCCCTTAACTAAGGCATATTCCTTAAACCATATAAGGAACCCTATTATGATTTATGGAATATTCCTTAATTAACGGGTATTGGAGTCTCTGGATAGGAACCCCCAAAAGGGTACCCCTATTGTTGGGAAACTCCCAAACATTCAGAGGAGCTGAAAATCGAGGCAACTGCAGAATGCATCAAAGGAGCTTCAGCATGGTATAGAAGGCAACGGTGATGAACAGAAAGCCTTAAGAAGATGCAGCGCGTATGTACTTGCCCGGGGGGGGAGGCAAGATTGAAGGCTATGAGGCTCGCACTCATGTTGGACGCAGCCACGTCCAGCGCCGTCATGACTCCGACGAAGGACACGCCGCAGCAAACAGAACGCCTGAATCTTTCGCTTTCACAAATGGCTCACAGCCTTGAGAACCAAATGAACCCCAAAAGGGTTTATGGTTCATATACCATATACCCCAATAAGGGTTATAGTAGTACAGGGTATACGGTCCCAATTTTAGGCTTCCTTTGGCTCACAGGAGAGCTTCGACTGTTGGCACCGGCTGCCTCTGCTTGCCCGGCGGATGGCAGCTTAATGCCAGGTAAAGCAACGAGAAGCAGCCTTTCAAGACCATGTGACCTGAAAGCAGGCAGAAAAACATGCAGAAACTTCATCGAGAGCCATGCGTGCATGCCATGTGTGCATGCAACAGCGATGTCAATGCCCGGCTCATGGTGTAGAAAAGCGGAAAGTCGAGTCCGCCTCAAACTTTCACAGGCTCATCACCAATCTCTGAAGGGACCTTGAGATGAAGCTGCCTTTGCCTGGCCTCTCCAGGACTTCATGACCCATTTGTTCAGCAAGACCAGGGTAATGGATACGCCTGAGCTTTAGAGGCGGCCCAAGAGTTACGGGATGTGTAAAGGGCATACCAGAAGAAGAATAAGAAGCGGAAGAAGAAGAAGAAGAAGACGAAGAAGAAGAAGAAGAAGATGTCTTGAACGCATCGCTGGCGTTCTTGCTGCCTGGTTGCAGTACCATCCTTGGAAGGAAGGATCTCTCCAATCGTGAGGCGTCTTGAAAGGGGGCTTGGTCATGCAGCATGTACGGGTAGCGCCCCATGCGTGAATCGAGGTACTTATTGCACTGTAGAAATCTGGGTGGCAGTGGGCAGGTGCAAATGCGGCATATATGTGTGTGTGTGTGTGTGTGTGTGTGTGTGTGTGTGTGTGTGTGTGTGTGTGTGTGTGTGTGTGTGTGTGTGTGTGTGTGTGTGTGTGTGTTTGTGTGTGTGTGTGTGTGTGCGCGTGTGTTTTTTCTTCTGCGTGTGTGTGCGTGACAACTGTGACACCATGTTCCTGGGGGGGGAACAGCGGCAATCACAACCACATTGCATGGAAAACAAAGACAGAAAGAGCATCCACAAAAAATCTAACGTCTCCTCAAAGGGAACTTCTCGCATTCGATGTATGGAAGTAGAATCTAAGTAGAACTGTCGCAAGAACAACGTCACTCCGGCAGAGGTGTGTGCACGTACTGTGGGGTTCAGCCTTGCCGTGGGGGTTCCCGCCTGTCAGTAGCTCGGACAGAGGCAGCGCCCCAAAAATGCAGACGCCTTGTACAAACCGCCAGGGACTCTTCCTTCGACGCCCCCTTGCACCCCTGGACCCCCCGTAAACCCGCCAATGAACCCTTTTGAAACCTCCCTCCCTGACACATTCCCTAAAGCCTTATGAGCCTGCCAGACCTCCGACAGGTTTTCGAATTTCTTGGGCTTTGGGACATGGGCTGGCCCGGCTGCTTTCAATTAGGGTACCTTGTTTGGGTCCTTACTATAAAAGGAATCCTACTAGTTGCGGCTCCATAATAGGGGCCCCTTAATTTTTCGGAAACTCCCCATACTTATGGCATCCCTCTACTTCTGCATCTGCCGGAGTCAACCCGGCTCTGCGTCCAAGTCCGCACGATGCCTACTTCGGAAGGACTCATCATCCCAACACCGCAACCCCTAAATTAAGCCTAGCACCCTGACAGCTTATATACCAGGACGGGCTCTTGGGCCCGATAACCCCCTTAAACAGACCCTTCATAGGGTTGATTATGGGGACTCTGGGGCCGAAGAGCCGATCCTGGTAGACTACTGTAGACCCTTAAATGGGCTTCGTCCAGGTGTCCCAAGACCAAGCTGGAGATCAAAAGGGCAGCCGCGGCCCGCGAGTCGGGCTTGGCGCGCTTCACCAATCTGCGGGTGCACTCACCTCATCTTCCCCAGAGCCCAGCACCCGCTTCAGGACTTTCCTCGCAAGATCCTAAAACGAAGCTCTGGGGTCCTGAAAAACTATACGAGTAAGGCAGTAGAAGGTTGTGCTTCCTCAATTGACGGGTATAAGTTTTTTGCTGTTAGTCCTCAAGTCTTAATTGTGCCCGAGGAGCTCAGGCACACGAGGGCGAGGAAGAACCCGAGCTCTTCCAGAATAGAGGTGATGTGGGGATTCATCGGCGCACATGTTTGGCACACCTAGATTATAATCGATGAGAACCACACCTTGGGGGCAGAGTAGATAAACTCAGCTGGGACCGTTCAGCATTCTTCTCGTCAGTGGGCCGCCGGTGCACGGCTGCATGCGGCTACTGTGGCTCACCGCCAGCGACTCAGCACCAGTGGAGCTTTCATGTCGCAGCGTATGTTCGCGAGTTTATGCCTGTGCTGCGCGTGGCTCTACGTAGAATATCTGATGCGCATAACAGTGGAACACTGTGTTGAGCAACTTGGCATCAATGCACGCACCTGATATCTGCAACATCTCAAGATAGATTTCAAGTACAGCCAGCTGTCGAGGACAGATTGCATCCTTGGCGTACCTTGCCTAGCCTATAGGCTTCTGCTTTCGATGGAGTTCTTGGCTGCTTTGGGCCGGCTCATGGAAGCTGTCAGTCCTTTTCCGTGCCAAGCCTGCTTTGCGTCGCCCAGCTCATCTTGCGTAATGCTGTCAAACAAGATCTTGTAACAACGGTACTGCAACTGCATAGCCTGGTGGCGCGTCATTGCACAGCCTCCCAGTAACGTTAGGTCGCAGGGCAATTCGTACCCAAAGGCTCCTATGTAGTACCTTTTTGGGGTAGCATACTAAAAATCCCCTATAATTATAACTAACCCAAAAAGGAACTACACTGGAGCCTTCAGGTAGGTCCCACTGCTCACAGGCACTTCGCGTCCCACAGCAGTGAGCGGAAAGCTTCGAAGAAGCTGCTCACGCCACCACCTGCGGCGCGACCCAGACATCACTGGAACATATCACGACGCACAACTGTTTTCACAATTTCCTTCGAAGCTTCAATGCGAGATGTACCACTTTGCAATCGATGGAGATGGTGGAGCGTGCGCTGAAGCACACACCCATGATTTATTTTCTTGACTTGGAAACTCACATTTTTTGTCATCACGAACTCCACAGAAGACGAGGATGACAGCGCTGAAAGTTTCTTTCTGTCTTAGACTTAGCTTTGGGGTATGAGCTCGAGCTTGAGCAGAATGTATCTAAGCATCCGACAGACGGCCCGTGCCAGCGGATGCGGACAGTAACTATGGTGTCTTCTGGTGTCTTTTGTTTGCCTCTGTCTTGTCTTTTGCGGCAGTGTCCGCGCGCCTTGCTTTGCGGTCGGCAGCTGGCTCGGCACCTCCGCTGCGGCAGCATTCAGGTGAGCACTTCACACCCCCGTGCCCCCAAACAGCTTCCCCATGCTTCGCCCTTCAGATGCTTTTCGGGGAGCGCCTCGTCCACCTGTGGCCAGGACTGCGGCGCTGCCTTTGGCGCCTGGGAGCCCGCAGCCGCAAGAGTGCCAAGGGGCTTCCAAAAAGGCACTGCGAAGTCACTGCAAAGTGCTGGTATTGCGTGGGAAGTGGCTGCCGAAGGCTCTCACTCTCACCACTCGCAAGCCCCAAGCCCTCATGGTACATGTGTGAATCCCACAACTCCACATCAAGATACCAGCTGACCGGCTTTGCAACGCACTGGGATGGAGGGGCGGGGCCTACGGCCTACGGAACTGCCTCCGAGGGAGGGAGGAGGCGGGCATCCTCCAGCAACGTGGGGTACAGAGACGCCTCGGCCAGGACCGTGCTATGCCTTCTTTGGGGGCAGGCTTGATGCGCGGAATTGCGCAGCTGTCTCATCGAGGAGCTCAGTGCTGGGCCCGGCATTCCTGGAGGATCCAGGAGGCCATCCCGGCCGAGGGCACCAAGCTGCAGGAAGGATTGGTGATTGGTCATGTGCACAGAACCCATCACAAGATCACATGATCGCATCGTAAGTACGCTTGATTAATCATCTCAAACATGGCAGGGAGGGCAGCGAACCGATCCAAGTCCCACTCTTCAGCTTCGAACACGAACTAGCGAGCGGCCTTCCGTCGACGGCCTCGCCGAACTGAGGGCAAACTTCTCCTGAGGCTTGCAAGGGCGTGAAGCGTCTTGATGCGTTGTACTTGCGCTGCACCAGCTTCAGCCAGGACTCCTGTGGCTATCGAGGAGGAGATGTCCCCACCCAGCATTGCCTGCGTCGCAGCACGAATACAGGCCGCTCATGGCAGTCCTGGCAGCTCTGTCTGCTCGCGGGATGGCCTGGTTCGCAACTCTCCTCACGTCCCTCGTCCCCATTCTCTCCTAAGGCCCGCGCCTTCAGAGCCCGCAGGAAGGGGTTCGGGGCGGCGAAGACCTCGCACCAGCAGCACACTTACGCACTCGAGCCGAGCACTCATGCTCCGACCCGTCGCCAGCGGATGCCAGCGGAACGGCCACACGTCGTCGGCACGTCACGGCGCCGTGCAGGATGGCACAGATCAAGTATGACAGCGAGACCGTGAAGGATGGCACGACCGCACCCGATGGCGCCCTTAAGTGTGATCCCCCTTATATGCGCATAATTGCGCATAGAATATACAAGATAGATAGCAAGTCATGCGCCCTCGCCTGGCCCGGCAGCTCAAGGCCTTCAGAGCCGCGCAGCGCAAGCTGCCAGCACTTCTGCCTGCGGCACGCGCGGAACGGAAACCCGAAACTGCCCTTAAAGACCTCGCAAGGAAGCTCAAGAAAAACATGGCACTCAAGGAAGCTGGGCCGGCTCTGTACGCCAACCCCTGCGGAGAAAACGCTATTCATCGCACGTTATCGACTGCTAGCAACTATAGAACAGTAACCTGTTGGAGGACTACACGTCACCGCGGCGCCTTTCCGTCGCGGGGCTCGCTGCCTGGCGAAGTATAAGACCGCATTTCCGACGCTATGGGAAGGTGATGGATGGAAACTCTCTGGAGGCTGAGATGGGGCCTTAATGGGCTGCAGCATCCCTGTAACGTTGCACTTGCTGCCAGCTCCCTCATCATCGTGCTACATACTCGGCAGTGAACTATAGGCAGCCCTCGGCATGCCTCCGACGTCTTGAGCGCCAAATCCTGCAACCAGATGCAACGAGCAATCGGGGCAGGTGCTCGGGCGGTGTTTGGGGGGATGGCAACGTACAGCAACAGGCCATGCCACGCTTCCCCGGTGTCCTCCAGGCTGTGCCCTGCGCTGAGATTCGCAAAGCTATGGCACACCTCCCGCGCAATGGCGGCCGGTTTTCTTTCCACGCGATTGCTTCGAAGACATCGACGCTTGCTTCGCACACGCGCATGCGCTTCCATCTGCTTGTCTTTATAAGCATCTCTGCCCCTCTCGGCCTCCTTCCAGGCGGCCGTCCCGAACGCCTGGTGCGTAGCGATGGTGATATGACGGTGACGTGATGGTGATGCGCCGTCCGCTGACCCGCACACGAGCGCACGCAAGTGAGTGTAGACAGGCGCCTTCCTCTGCCCCAAAACCGCAGGAACCACCTGAGATGCAAGGCATCGCATGGCATGGCAGGGCCCTGCGGGCTGCGAAAAATGGCGAAAACAACAGCAGCCCCACGTCACCCGTTCTGTGCATGCCTTGCAACTTATAGGTTGGCTTGGCCGCTTGGCACCCGACTGGCCACAGCAGCAACTGGATGATGGGGACCATGATGCCTGCAATCAGGCAGGATGCCCCGGTTCGCGCCTCCTCTCAGACTCACGACATCTCACGCCCCAAACGCTTCCCCTCTCGCCTACCGTTTTGTCCAGACGCATCTGCTTTAAGCAGGTTGCAATGCTGCCTCGATGGAATGACAGACCACGGTGCCGGGTGTACGGTGTTGGGGAGATGCGAGACGCAGAGCAAGCGAGAGGGAGAACTGTAGAGAATTGCGAGAGAGGAAAAAGAAGCCGAAGAAAACAACACGCCTGCAAACGCACACGCCTGCAAATAATGCTGGCGTCAAACCGCAGACCAGCGTAAACCTGCTTCCGGGACCGCGGCGGAGAGCCAGCGCTTCGTCCAGATCATCCGGGACGTCCTCTTCTTCCGGCATCTCCTGTGCTGGGCAGAGGGCAAGGGACACATGTCTCCGCTGCGCTGAATCTGCAGCGCTGCTTCGTGCTGCTCCATGCTGCTCCATGCTGCCTCGCAACACTTGGCTCCTCCTGGCCATGATGGACCGGTGATGCCTTGGGGCTCGCCCAGGGTGACACGAAATCCTCCCAAGTCTGCGATGGTTTGCTAGACTGCTAGACAATCCTGCGGCCACGAGTTCGCACTGCGCACTATACGCATCACTACGCTGCGCGCCGCTGCGTGAGGGCTGCATGGGCCTGATTCAAGAGAATCAGTCCTGGTACAAGTGCAGAAGGGACGGCACGGGGAGGACCGGCGGCGGCCTGCTTTCGAGCCACGGGTGAGGATGTGTGAGGCCTGCATAGTTACTGCATATAGCCGTCCGCATCAGATCCCACTCCGAAGGCTGCTGCTTGTAGCATTTGCTGGCCTGCTGCTTTTTCCAAAACTCCTATATCGACTTCAATGCCAGGTGCCCGAGGCCGGCGCTTGGGCGAGTCCGCCATGCATGGCCGGACGTACTGGCAGCGCTCCACAAAGCTCCAATCGCCACACGCGTCGCACGCGAATTCACATGCGCCGACGCAGCTCAAGCGGCAGCTCAACAGATATGCCCAGCATCGCTCAACGAATGGACCGGCCTGAGGCTGGACCTCCTCCTGGTGCCGCACGGCCTGTCTCCAGCAAACAGAAAACCCTGTGCTGCGAGTGTCTCACTTCATGCCGTGGCCGGCACCAGAATGAGGAGCTGCGGCAGCAGCAGCCCGGCGAAGATCTGGTCGGCGATGGCCTGCGCGGCCGCGAGATGCGAACAAACACAGCGCCAGGCAGACATGGGCAGACTCTGGCAAGATCGGCTCAGACCAATGGCATGAAATGGCACAGTGGTAAATATGATAAGTATGGACTATATATTTGGCTGGTTGGCTACTGTACTATTTATGTTCAGCGGGAAGATGCAGCAGGAAAGAGGGTATGGTATGAGTGCAGGAGGAGGCGCCATGCGGCGCCTGGGTAACCCACGGCAGCCCAAGGCCCAACAACTCCGCCAGGAACTCCAGGATGTCCTGCATCTCGGATCACGAAAGGCATCCCGAGTCGTCCCGCGAACTGGAGAACTTCCTCATACAACTTCATGCTGACCTCTGTACAAATGCGGCACATTGCAGCACGGTCGCCGCCTCCTCGGAGTTCGTTGCAGATTTGAAGGCAGAGGCATCCTGCTCACGGGCCGCCACCGCGGCCGCCGCCTCGGAGCAGCGCTTCCTTCGATTCCAAAGCCTCTATAATCCGCCGAGGCCTCGGGCTGCAAGCGTCGGAGTATAAAACGCAGGCACCCTACCTTTAGGGCATTTTCCCCACCCCCACCCCACCCGCACCCCTACCCACCCCCCTCGCCCCCCCACCCCCTGCCCCTCCGGCTCGTGTGGGGACTGGCACCGGGTGGGACAAGCTCACAGTGCAAAGTCTCGCGGCTCGAAGATCAGGATACTTGTGTGATCCGGTTGAGCTTCGACTTTGTGTGACCTCTTCCTGTGCTGAAGGTCCTGAATCCCGGTTTCTTATGCTTAAACCGGTTGCATCCCGGCGCCGACTCGAGAGACACATCTCTCCGCAATCTCCACAGTAAGCACGCGCAGGTCCCGGCCGAGAGGCGGGTCGCGTAGCGTGCGTAGCGTCAAAATTTCGTACATCACCACGTACATGAAAAAGTGCAGCTGTGCAATCATAACATGCGAGACTGTGTGACTATGGAAACGAGCATGCAGCGCCGAGCTGCCCAGATGGAGCGCAGCGCATCGACCAAGCGCGGCAGGAGGTCGTCTTCCAAGACCTGCAAACGAGCCGCCGGTCTTGTGGCCCGGGCACGTCGAGGGCCGGGGGCAGGGGGCCAGCGCACGCAGCAAAGCTCAGCAAGTTCCGACATCGGGGGGTGTGGGAGGGGGATAGTGGGGCCTCCACTGCAGCTGCTCGCACCTCGGCGGCCGAGCATGGCACAGTGCGGTAAAGCGAATATTTTGTTGCCATTGCTGTGGTGCACACATACCCACACATGAGTCGAGTGGCGCGAGGGTCTTTGACCTGAAGGATGCCTCAGCTTGCTGTGCGATGTTGCACGGCATCCGGCGCACAGTCGAGCTTATAGACATAGAGTATAGAGAAAGGAGCGCTGGCTGCTTCCCAGCCGCGGAGGCAAGCTACCCGCGCGCTGGTGGAGGCCAGGTTCTCCGGATGCATGATGAACCTCGCAGCCTGGCCAGCAGCAGCAGCAGCAGCAGCAGCAGCAGCAGCAGCAGCAGCAGCAGCAGCAGCAGCAGCAGCAGCAGCAGCAGCAGCAGCAGCAGCAGCAGCAGCAGCAGCAGCAGCAGCAGCAGCAGCAGCAGCAGCAGCAGCTATATATTACGTAGTCCGACTCTCCATCAGCGCGTTGCACTCCCGCTCCCCCCCTCCCCTTCACGCTCGGCCTCCTTCAAAACAGGCAGGACCATTACCTGCATATGCATGAACGATGAATGCAACCTGAATAGAGCAAAACCTTTGGGACTACAGTATGTCATAGGCCGCCGCAGGATTTCATCAGAGCGATTGCTGGACATGCCAAAACCAAATCACCGTAGCCATGACTGGTCTTATCAAGATTGCCGAGGTGAAAAAAAAACGCCGGTTGGCGGGCCTGGTCCTCGGCGTCAGCCATTCCAAGCGCAGCCTAACTTGCAGGTCTGCAGGGCCGAGATGGGTCGAGTTGGCTGGACGCACAAAAGGGAAGACTTGGGGAAGGCTGCTGAGCACGGGGCGGGCATGAGCAGCCGCTCCGCTGTCCTGAGAGAGCCAGGGCCCCGGGCGAATCATCGTGGCAGTGAGAGCACGCCACTGCAGGTGACTGTGGCGTGATAGCATGTCCGTGGCAAGAACGCTCTCAGGGCTGGGCTCCGGCGTCACTCTCATGGCCAGGTGCTTAATGATGTGCACGTAAAAAGCCTTGGGCTCCCGCAGTCTTTCACTTTCATCATCCTTCATCCCTCGCTCCCTCCCACCTCTCATCAGAGCTCCCACATGAGTTCTCAGTATGTGCGATCTCATGCGCCATCATCGGAAGGGCCCCCCGGCCAAACTGTCATCCGTTGGGAGCTCCGGCCTGGGCTCCGGCAACTCCGGCATGTGCACCGGGAACCAGAGGCATGTGGCAACATGTGGCAGCCTTGTCCTTCTGAAGCTGTAAGCGCCAAGCTGGCCGTGCAGCAGCTTGTTGTAGGCGCCGCCCTCCAGGATCCTCCGGCCCGTGGCGGGCCTGGCCTTTCGCGCGTGCGCCGGATCGGGCGCAGACGCAGCGAAAACTGCACCACAAGCCACAAGCGCCATGTATCAACTCAATTCAACGTCGAATGCCAGTGAGCGGCATTCGTGAGGAGGAGGCACCTCAGAAGCGGCACTGATCACGCCCGGACTTCTACAACATCAACAGTATCGACAGGCTATCCGTGGTCACCGTGACCGTGGCCGTGGCATGCAAAGCACTGCGAGATATTGCGAGCCCAGGGGCAGCGTCTGAAAAAGCTGCACTCGGACGCGCTCCAGCGTCTCGTACGCCAGCAGCCCGTTCACGAGCAACTCTATCCCCTGCGATGCAAGGGGAGTATATCAGGCGCCAGGAGCACTTGCAGCTGGAAAAGGCGCACACGCAAACCCCCCCAAATCCACACGCCTCGTTGGCTAGAAAAAAGTCGAAGAGATCTCCATGAAGATCTTCTGAGTGGGCCAGCCTCCGCGAATCGTTGAAGCCACATTCAAGCATGCAGACAACAATCAAGAAAAGAGTCGATCCCCATTGCAGCATCTTGCAGCCAGGCCGCGCCGCCCCAGTCTGGTGGATATATTTCACCAGGGCCTCGGGGGGTGAAAACATGTGAAAACCGTCATGGCAATAGTGGCACTATACAAACCAACTGCTGGATGATCAGCACTCTATCATGCACTCACTTCTCTACAGAAGCTACGCTGGGTGGGAGCAGCTGGGCTTCCCACGTCGGCTTGGGCATTCGTGTGTGGGAAGGCCGCCGACCCCAAGGTCAGGCCATCCCGGACTCCCTGCAACCTCTCAGAACAGGGTTAGAGCCGTAGGCGTTCAGAGCAGACATTGAGTATGCATGATGAGATGTGCTGAGGGCATCCGAGAGCCGGGCACGGGGGCCAGCTCCGCCAGATTCAGCGGAAAATCCTGGCAGGGGCTATTTTCTTGCGACGCAGAGAGCGGGGGCGGGACATGCACCCTGCAGCTGGGCCCCTGGCGTTCTGGTCGTCCTTTGCCTGACACCGTGGCAGCGCGAGCCGCTGGGACGGAAAAGCAACCCTCTCCCGCTGTAAATCGGATCACAGTCTGCCGAAGGGAACGGCGAGAACGGCCCGCCTCCCAGAACGAGGCCAGCCACTCCATTGGCCGCCGGCTGAAAACCAGCGCGGCAGCACGGGGGGGGGGGGGGGGGGAGCAACCACCGAAGAGACTTGTGAAGTCATGTCCGGGCGTGAGTATATGTCATGCTATGTCCGAGTTTTCTCGACAGTGCCTGTACAGCCAACTGCTGCGCATAGTGGATGGCGCGTGGCCATTCGGAGCACCATGCTGCGACTCCTGGAAGCCTGCAATCTCCGCTTGAAACGCTGGCAGCAGCGGCACCACCGATGGAGCTCTTGGCTGCTCTGGGCCGGACTGCAATCCCGGAAGCTGTCAATCATTTTCTGTGCCAAGCCTGCTAAGCGTCGAACGGCTCATCTTTGCGCAATGACTGTAGCTAAATATAGGGTGGTGGCGTGTCATTGCACAGCCTACCACAGTCAGATCAGGTGGCAGGCATTGCTGGTGCTTCGGCACAGTTCTGGTTCTACAGTCTCGACTCTAGGCTCTAGAGTCAGTCTTACGGAGGTCCCACTGCAAGCAGAATCAAGCAGACACAGGTCCGCTCGCGCGCGACGCAATATCGTGCCACCTCCAGCGACTGAATGTCGTTTGCGTGCTCTCAGAGGCACTTCGCATCCCACAAGAGCGACCGGATAGAATGGAAGAAGCTGCTCACGCTGCCACCTGCGGCACAACCCAGGCAGCATGAAACACTAGAAAACGTTCAGTTTCCTTCGAAGCTTCAACGCGAGATGCACCGCCTTGCTAGCGACTCATCGACGGAGATGGTGGCGCGTACGAGGAGGAAGCAGGAAATTCAAAACACATCATTCATAAATAATACGAACTGCGCAGAAGATGTGTCTGCGCGCCGGGCCTTGCTTTTCGGTTGGCAGTTGGCTCGGCACCTCCGCTGCAGCAGCAGTCAAGATCATTCAATCAAGTGGCGCTGCGCTGTGACGGGGGTGCTGGCTTGGCAAGCAGCGACTTTCCCACAGATCCGCCAAATGGTGCTTCGCCCTTCAGACGCTTTTCGGGGCGCGCCTCGTCCACCTGTGGCCAGGACTGCGGCGCTGCCTTTGGCGCCTGGGGGCTTCCAAAAAGGCACTGCGAAGTGCTGGTATTGCGTGGGAGGTGGCTGCCGAAGGCTCTCACTCTCACCACTCGCAGGCCCAAAGCCCTGATGGTACAAGGTGTGTATGGGATTCGTCATCATCCTAAAATCAACCCCGCAACTCCACAACAAGATACCAGCTGACCGGCTTTGCAACGCTCTGGGGTGGAGGGGTGGGGCCTACGGCCTACGGAACTGCCTCCGAGGGAGGGAGGAGGCGGGCATCCTCCAGCAACGTAGGGTACAGAGATGCCTCGGCCACGACCGTGCGACGCTTTTGGGGTGTAGGCTTGATGCGTCTCTTTCAGGAGATATTGAAGCGAGCTCAGCGCTGGGCCCGGCATTCCTGGAGGATCCAGGAGGCCATCCCGGCCGAGGGTACCAAGCTGCAGGGGGGACTGCACACATCAGAAGGTCACAAAATCGCATTGTCAGTATGCTTCACATATCATGTAAAACATGGCACTCGAGGGCAGCCGAACCAAATCCAATTCATCAGCTTCAAAACACGAACTAGCGAGCGGCCTTCCGTCGACGGCCTCGCCGAACTGAGGGCAAACCTCTCCTGAGGCTTGCAGCGGATCGCAGCGGTGTGACGCGTCTTGATGCGTTGTCACACCAGCTTCAGATTCAGCCAGGCCTCCTGTGGCTCCAATCGAGGTGGAGATGTCCCCTCCCAGCATTGCCTGAAGCTCCGGACGCGTCGCAGGATGTTAACTGCAGGCCGCTCTGCCTGTTCCTGCTATCCCGGTCCCTCGTCCCCACTTTCTCCCGAGGCCCGCGCCTTCAGAGCCCGCAGGAAGGGGTTCGGGGCGGAGAAGACCTCGCGCCAGCAGCACACTCGAGCCGTTCACTCTTGCACGCTCCGACCCGCCGTTCACGCCATGGCGTATGAAGAGTGAAGGACAGCGAGTCCGTGAAGATCCGTGAAGGATGACACGACGGCACCCTATACCCTTGCATGGCGCCCCCAAGAGAATACAAGTCATGCGCCCTCGCCTGGCCCGGGAGCTCAAGGCCTTCAGAGCCACGCAGCGCAAGCTGCCAGCACTTCTGCCTGCACAAATAAGCAAAAAGAAACACCGCGCGCTGCACGGAGCGGAACCCGAAATTGCCCCTTATAAGAAATCGCAAAGAAGCTCAACAAAGTGAAACATGAACGACCACGCTTTCTCTCACTCAAGGAAAGCTGGGGAGAAGACGCTATCGCACGTTGTCCACTGCTTAGTAGCTATAGGAAACTCAGCAACCTCTGGAGGTCTGCACGTCTCCGCGGCGCCTTTCCGTCGCGGGGCTCGCTGCCTGGCGACGTGCGCCGCGTTTCCGACGCTACGCGAAAGTCATGGAAACTCTCTGGAGGCTGAGATGGGGCTGTAATGGGCTGCAGCATCCCTGTAACGTTGCATTTGCTCCCTGCTCTCCCTCACCGTTGTGCTACAGTAGATACTCGGAAGTCAACTTTTGGCAGCCCCCGGCATGCCTCCGACGTCTTGAGCGCCAAATCCTGCAACCAGATGCAACGAGCAATCGGGCAGGAGGGGCAGGTGCTCACGGGTGGTGTTTGGGGGGATGGCAACGTAGCGCTTGCCACGCTTCCCCGGTGTCCTCCAGGCTGTGCCCTGCGCTGAGATTCGCAAAGCCGTGGCACACCTCACACGCAATGGCGGCCGATCGGCTTTGCATTACCGGTATGCCAGCGATATCTTGAAGCATCTCTGCCCCTCTCCCGGCCTCCCTCCAGGTGGCCGTACCCAACGCCTGGCGCATAGCGATGGTGACATGACGGTGGCACGATGGTGATGCGCCGTCCCCTGTCTCACGCACACGTGCGCACTCAAGTGCGTGGAGACAGGCGCCTTCCTCTGCGCCAAAACCGCAGGAACCACCTGAGATGTGAGGCAAAGACATGGTCGCATGGCATGGCAAGGCCCTGCGGGCGACGAAAACACCATCCCCGCGTCACCCGTTGTGTGCATGCCTTGCAACTTATAGGTTGGCTTGGCACCCGACTGGCCACAGCAGCAACTGGATGATGGGGACCATGATGCCTGCAATCAGGCAGGGTACCGCGCTTCCCGCATCGTCTCGCGACATCTGACGCCCCAAGCGCTTCCCCTCTGGCCTACCGTCTTGTCCAGACGCATCTGCTTCAAGCAGGTTCCAATGCTGCCTCGATGGAATGACAGACCACGGTGCCGGGTGTACGGTGTTGGGGAGATGCGAGACGCAGAGCAAGCGAGAGGGAGAACTGTAGAGAATTGCGAGAGAGGAAAAGAAGCCGAAGAAAACAACACGCCTGCAAACGCACACGCCTGCAAACAATGCTGGCGTCAAACCGCAGACCAGCGCAAACCTGCTTCCGGGACCGCGGCGGAGAGCCAGCGCTTCGTCCAGATCATCCGGGACGTCCTCTGCTTCCGGCATCTCCTGTGCTGAGCAGAGGGCAAGGAAAACATGTCTGCGCTGCGCTGAATCTGCAGCGCTGCTTCATGCTGCTCCATGCTGCTCCATGCTGCCTCGCAACACTTGGCTCCTCCTGGCCATGATGGACCGGTGATGCCTTGGGGCTCGCCCAGGGTGACACGAAATCCTCCCAGGTCTGCTTTTGCTAACCTGCTAGACAATGTGGCCCCTGCGCCTGGACGACTTCGCACTGCGCACTACGCATCACTATACGCTGCGTGCCTGAGGGGCTGGAGGGGTCCATAATAATTCAAGAGACCCGGTCCTGGTACAAGTGCAGCAGGGACGGCACGGGGAGGACCGGCGGGGGCCTGCTTTCGAGCCACTTCGTGAAGATGAGGTCTGCATAGCTACTGCATATAGCTGTCCGCACTCTGCAGGCTGCTACTTGCGGCGTTTGCTGGCATCCTACTCTTTCCTATCGACTTCAATGCCAGGTGCCCGAGGCCGGCGCTTGGGCGAGTCCGCCATGCATGGCCGGACGTACTGGCAGCGCTCCACAAAGCTCCAATCGCCACACGCGTCGCACGCGAATTCACATGCGCCGACGCAGCTCAAGCGGCAGCTCAACAGATATGCCCAGCATCGCTCAACGAATGGACCGGCCTGAGGCTGGACCTCCTCCTGGTGCCGCACGGCCTGTCTCCAGAAAACCCTGTGCTGCGAGTGTCTCACTTCATGCCGTGGCCGGTACCAGAATGAGGAGCTGCGGCAGCAGCAGCGCGGCGAAGATCTGGTCGGCGATGGCCTGCGCGGCCGCGAGAATGGAACAGAAGCAGCGCCGGGCCGACATGGGCAGACTCTGGCAAGATGGGCTCAGACCAATGGCATCCAATGGCACGAAGTAGCACAGTGGTGAATATGGTATATATATATATGTAAATATGTGATTGTCACTATTTTTCGTTCGTATAATCATCCTGACATATCATCCTGTGTCACATGTGCTCCGCAGTGGGGAGATGTGGAGAGATGCCAGCGCTGCGGCGCCTGTGTAACCCAAGGCAGCCCAAGGCCCAACAACTCCGCCACGAACTCGAGGATGTCCTGAACTTCCCACGATTCACAAAGCCCCGAATCGTTCCGAGAACTTCCTCTTACAACTTCATGCTGACCTCCTATATGTAAAAAACAAGCACGGTCGCCTCCTCGGAGTTCGTTGCGGCCTTGAAAGCCGAGGCATCCTGCTCGCGGGCCGCCACCGCAACCGCCACCTCAGCCGGCACTGTCGGCGCCTCCCTTCGACTCCGAAACCATCATCTACAAAGATATCATCTATTGTTTTGAAAGGCAGCAATGCAATGTAAGATGCCAGATTACATCAACAAGCTTGCAGCGCCGAGCTGCCCAGATGGAGCGCAGCGCATCGACCAAGCGTGGCAGGAGGTCGTCTTCCAAGACCTAGAAGCACTGGGCCGCCGATCTTGAAGCAAGTTCCGACATCCGGGATGTGGGGGGGGATGCACTCGGACACAGGGCCTCCACCGCGGCTGCCCGCACCTCGGCCGCCGGGCACGGCGCGGCGCGGCAGCGAATGTTTTTGGTTGCTCTGGTGCACACATGTGCATATATGTGAGCCGAGTGGCGCGAGGGTCTTTGACCTGCAAGATGCCTCAGCTTGCTGCGCGAGAACTGAGCAGCATCGGGTGCAGAGTCGAGCTTATAGAGAGAGAGGGAGCGCTGGCTGCTTCCCAGCCGCGGAGGCAGGCTACCCGCGCGCTGGTGGAGGCCAGGTTCTCCGGATGCATGATGAACCTCGCAGCCTGACCAGCAACTAAACTTCCGAAGTCCGCAGCACATGTCGTTCGACTCGAATTGCACACCGCCTCCTTCAAGACGGGCAGGACGGTTGCCTGTGAGGTACAACGAATGTCAACGATGCAACCATGCATACCCATTTCAAATGAAATGAGTATACGTGCAGTAGGGTACTTCTTATACCTAGGGCACAATAGACAATGCGCCCAAGGATGTCATCCGACTGCTGGAGATGCCAGACCACAGCATTATACTGATGACTCTACGACTGGCGTTGCCAAAGACCTTGCAAGGAACACACACGGACTGCGGATGATTGCGGAGGTCTGAAGATGCCGGCTGGCGGGCCTGGTCCTCGGCGTCAGCCACTTCAAGGGCAGCCTTATACAGGGCCCAAATGGGCCGAGTTGGCGGACGCGGGACGCGAGTGGCAAGATTTGGAGACTGCCGCCGAGCACAGGGCGGGCATGAGCAGCCGCTCCGCCGTCCTCAAAGGACGAGAACGGAGTCCAAAAGTACTCAAACGTGCGATGGCATCTCCGCGGCAAGAACGTGCTCAGGGCTGGGCTCTGCGGTCACTCTCATGGCCAAGTGCTTGACGATGTGGACGTAGAACGCCTGGGCTCCCGCAGTCTCTCACTTTCAATCATCTTTCATCCCTCTCTCGCTCCCTCCTGGCTCCCTCCAGCTCCCTCCCTCTTGCTAACTCCCTCCTCTCATCAGAGCTCCCCCATGAGTTCTCGTTTTGCATGTGTGTGCGAGCTCATTCGTCATCAGCGTGCTCATGAACAGCCAGGGTCTCCCAGACCTCGAAAGGGCCCCCGGCCAGGCTGTCATCCGTTGGGAGCTCCGGCCTGGGCTCCGGCAACTACTCCAAGGCTCCGCAGAGCCAGAGGCATGTGGCATGTGGCAACATGTGGCAGCCTTGTCCTTCTGAAGCTGTAAGCGCCGCGCTGGCCGCGCAACAGCTTGTTGTAGGCGCCGCCCTCCAGGATCCTGTGGCCCGTGGCGGGCCTGGCCTTTCGGGTGCGGCAGGTGCGCGGCGCATCCGGCAAACGCAGGGAAAAAATTGCACCATGCACGCACTGCAATTGATGCACTGTAAACTCTATTCAACGTTGAATGTGAGTGAGCGGCATTCGTCAGGAGGAGGCACCTCAGAACTGGCACTGGAGCACTGGACATCTAAAACATCTACAGCATCGACCAGGCTATTCGCGGTCACCGTGACCGTGGCATATCCGTGGCATGCAAAGAACTGCGAGATATATTGCGAGCCCAGGGGCAGCGTTTGAAAAAGCTGGACGCGAACACGCTCCAGCGTTTCGTAGGCCAAGAGGCCAGTCACGAGGAGTTCTATCCCCTGCGGGGCACTCATGGAGTATCAGGCGTCACGTATTCTTGCAGCTGGAAAAGGCGCAGATGCAAACCGCCCCCCGTCCACACGCCTCGTTGGCTAGAAAAAAATCAAACAGATCTCCATGAAGATCTTCCGAATGAGCAAGCCTCCGAGAATCGTTGGAGCCACGTTACAGCATGCCGACAGTAAGAAAAAAAACAACCTCCCAATTGCAGCATCTTGCAGCCGGGCTGCGCCGCCCCAGTCTGGTGGATGTACTTAACCAATGCCTCGGGGCGTGAAAACAGTCATGAAGCCATGGCACTATATATACTAACTGCTATAAATCATCAGATCAGTACTCTATATCATGCACTCACACTCTACAGAGGCTGACAGTGGGAGCAGCTGGGTTTCCCACGTCGGCTTGGGCATTCGTGTGTGGGAAGGCCGCCGACCCCAAGGTCAGGCCATCCCGGACTCCCTGCAACCTCACAGCAGGGATAGATTCGGATAGAGTCGTAGGCGTGGAGCAGACATTGAGTATGCATGATGTGCCGAAGGCATCCGAGAGCCCGGCACGGGGGCCAGTTCCGCCAGATTCAGCGGAAAATCCTCAGGAGCTGTCTCGCATCTGCCACAGAGGGCTCACGGGAAATGCCGGGATGCACAACACGCGAATAGCACTGAGGCCCGCTAGTTTACACTGCAGTTGGGCCCCTGGCGTTCCGGTCTTCCTTTGCCTGACGCCGTGGTGGCGCTAGGACGGAAAAGCAACTCTCCCGCTGATCGCTTCTGCTCTGCTCCGAAAAGAGGCCCGCCTCCCAGAACGAGGCCAGCCACTCCATGGACGCCGGCCGAAAACCAGCACGGCAGCACGGGGGGGAGCAACCACCGACGAGACTTACGAAGCCATGTCCGGGCATGAGATATGTCACAGCTTTCTCGACAGTGCCTGGACATGGATGGCACACGCTCATTCGGAGCACTACACTGCGACTACTGGAACCTCCACCTGAAACGCTGCGGCAGCGGCACGGCGCAAGGGCAGGTTTTCGGCGCCCCGCCTTTTCCGAAATCCCGGAAGCTGCACAGCTGGGAGCAAGACAGGCTTCTGTGGAAAAAAAATTACCTGAAAGTTTTGAATTTGTTTTTTTTTTTAAATTTTGCCTAAAAGGCAATTTGGGCTTCAGAGCTCAAAAGCTTCAAGTTCGGCCTCTACAGTGCACGCGCCTGGCCTGCGGATGGCTGCGGGCCCAAGATCCCTCTGTAGCTTAGCTACGCCAGCGAGAGAACATATATAGGTATACGCAATCTGTACATTTTGCATATTAGATTATTACAAAATATATATATATATATATACACATATTTTGATTGTCAACCCACAGACACAACATGCATACAACACACGTGGTCGGAGACAGGCAGGCTGTAACGCTGAATAAGAGAAAGTCAACCACAGGTGCCAGACGATGCCAAGTAGGCCAGCGAAAAAGGAATCACAGCAAATCCAGCAAAGCAAGAATCGCAGGTTTCGCGGACAGTTTTTTGCTGGCTCTTATTTCGGAGGGTGCGACGATGCTGTGGGGCCCAACAGGATTCGGCAGCACTGGTGACGCCACACCCTCTTCCGGATCTGCATGGGGCTGCCAGACTAAGATCCGCCACATGCACGCGCCTCGCAGATGCTCGTGCCGAAGCGGCATGCAAGCAGGCCGGTGGTCCATCTCACCATCACGGTTCAATCGACCGGCCTCGTGTCAGACGCCCGGGTGCGGTGATCTGCCGGTTCCGATGTCCATACTGCTGGCGAGCGCAGTGGCCAGCATGAGCAAGATCGACCTCCAAAACCTTTCAGACCCCGCTGTGCAATAACTTCTGCTTGAACGGCCTCCATATTGCTGGCGAGCGCAGTGGCCAGCATGAGCAAGATCGACCTCCAAAACCTGTAAGACCCCGCTGTGCAATAACTTCTGCTTGAACGGCCTCCTGGCCTACGAAACGCTGGAGCGCCAATGTGTTCCAGCGTCTCGCAGGCCAGGAGGCCGTTCACGAGCCCCTGCGGGGCAGAAAAGGAGTATCAGGCGAACCGCATGCTTGCAGCTGGGAGAGGGGTGCACATGCAAAAGAGCACGCCCCTTGCACACGCCTCGTCGGCCATTCAGGAGATCTTCACGGTGATCTCTTTGAAGTCAAAGAGATCTCCATGAAGATCTCCTGAATGAGCCTCCGCGAATCGTTGAAGCCACGTTCAAGCAGCTTCAAGCATGCCGACAACGAGGTCAAAAACCGCGTCCCCCATTGCAGCATCGTGCAGCCAGGCTTCGCCGCCCCAGTTTGGTGGATGTATTTCACCTTGGTTAAATACATCCACCAAACTGGGGCGGCGCAGCCTAGCTTAGCTCCAAGATACTGCAAGGGGGGTTGCATACCAAGTGCTAGCACTCTGTCATGCACTCGCTTGTCTACAGAGGCTCACGTCGGCTTGGGCGTTCGTGTGGGGGAAGGCTCGGCGGCCCAGTCAGGCCATCCCGGACTCCCTGCAACCTCAGAACAGGGATAGATTGGGGTAGAGTCGTAGGCATTGAGCAGACATGGGGTATAAGGCTTGGCCCAGTGTGAGTCCCCTAAGTGCCGAGGAGCTCAAGCACACGAGGGTGAGGAAGAACCCGAGCTCTTCCAGAATAGAGGCAATGTGGGGATTCATCGACGCACATGTTGGCACACCGACTAGACATGTCAATGATTACCCCCCATCTTGAGGGCAGACCCACATCTTGAGGGCAGAGTGCATAAACTCAGCTGGGAACCTTCGAGCATTCTTCTTGTCCGATGACCCGTCGTGCACGGCTACATACGGCTACTGTAGCTCAACACCAACACCAGCTTATGTTCGCGAATTTATGCCTATGACGCGTGTGGCTCTGCGCGGAATCTCTGATATGTATACCAGTGGAATACTGAGTTGAGCAAACTTGGCATCAGCGCACTCACCTGACAGCTTCCAAGGTCGCGCTATGTCAATTGCAGGCATACCTTGCCTAACCTAAGCAGAATCTGCTTTCGATGGAGGTTCTTGGCTACTACTCTGGGCCGGGCTCACGGACGCTGTCGGTCTTTTTCCGTGCCAAGCCTGCTTTGCGTCGCCCAGCTCGTCTTGCGCAGTGCTGTCAAGCACGATTTGCAACATTTTGTAACAACTGTACTGCAACTACATAAGACATACTTAAGACATAGTCTGGTGGTGCGTCATTGCACAGCCTACCAGTAACGTCAGGTCGCAAACTCGTAGGTCGTAGGACCCACTGCTCAGCGCTCAGCGGCACTTCGAATCCCACAACAGGGACCGGACAGCTTCGAAGAAGCTGCTCACGCTGCCACCTGCGGTGCGAACCAGACATCATGAAACACTGTACCTGAAGGCTCCAATGTATTCCTTTTTGGGTTAGCTATAGGGGATTTTAGTATGCTACCCCAAAAATAGGTACTACATAGGAGCCTTTGGGTAGACTGGATCACGACCCAATTCTACGTACAATTTCCTTCGAAGCTTTAACGCGAGATGCACCACCCGTGCCATAGATGGAGATGGTGGCGCGTGCGGTCGAGGAGGACACACCATACACACCAATGATATATGTTCTACATCAAATTCATCACGAACTGCACAGAAGGAGAAGATGACAGCTACCTTCGGTCTGAGTCTTGGCTTGGGGGTGTGAGCTCGAGCTCGAAAAGAATGATTTTGAAGCATCCAAGCATCCTACAGACGGCGGGATGCTGACTGCGGCGTCTCCGTCTGCCCCTGTCTTGACTTGTGCAGCGGTGTCTGCGCGCCTTGCGTTGCGGTCGGCAGCTGGCTCGGCACCTCCGCTGCGGCAGCCATCAAGATCATTCAAGCGGGCGCAGTGCTGTGACAGGGACGTTGGCTCAGCATGGGGACTGCACAGCAGCGGCAGCAATGCGGTGACTTTCCCACCAGAGCTTCCCACCCATGCTTCGCCCTTCAGACGCTTTTCGGGGAGCGCCTCGTCCACCTGTGGCCAGGGCTGCGGCGCTGCCTTTGGCGCCTTGGAGCCCTCGGCAGAAAGCGTCAGTGCGCCACAAGGGGCTTCCAAAAAGGCACCGCGAAGCGCTGGTGTTGTAAGTGGGACGTGGCCGCCTAGGCTCTCACTCTCACACTCGCAGGCACGAAGCCTTAATTGATGGTACCAGTCAGTGTATACTAGGATTGATCGATGGGCTGAGCAGCATCATTGTCGCGCCATCATCACTGTCCTCACCATCACCGTCATCCTCATCCTATAATCCCATAATCATCCCCTCCAAAGAAGATACCAGCTGACCGGATTTGAGATGCACTGATTGGGGGGGGCGGGGGAGGCACAGGGGTGCAAGTGCAAGCCTCCGAAGAAGGGAGGAGGCCGGCATCTTCCAGCAACGTAGGGTACAGAGATGCCTCGGCCACGACCGTGCTGTGCTTTTGGGACGTCGGCTTGACCGCGGCTGGAGGAGCTCAGCGCTGGGCCCGGCATTCGTGCAGGATCCAGGAGGCCATCCCGGTCGAGGGTACCAAGCTGCAGGGAGAGGCTTGCGGTCACGTGCACAGAATCTATCACAAGATCACAACATTGGCAGGGAGGGCAGCGAACCGAACCAAATCCAGCTCGTCAGCTTCGAACCCGAACTACCGACTGGCCTTCCGTCGACGGCCTCGCCGAGCTCGGGGCAAACCTCTCCTGAGGCAGGGGTGTGATGCGCCTTGATGCGTTGCACGTGCGCCGTCACACCAGCTTCAGCCAGGCCTCCTGTGGCTCCAATCGAAGTGGAGATGTCCCCTCCCAGCATTGCCTGAAGCTCCGGACGCGTCGCAGCATGTTAACTACAGGCAGCTCTATCAGCTCGCCACTCCACTCGCCGGGTGTTCCTGGTATCCCTCCCTCCACTCTCTCCCGAAACCCGCGCCTTCAGAGCCCGCAGGAAGGGGTTCGGGGCGGCGAAGACCTCGCACCAGCAGCACATATGAAGTATTAATGTTGGACCTGCTTTAGTATTGGCCCCCTCTTTAAAGACAATTTGGATGAATTATTCACTGCTTGGGAGTCCCTCTTTGAGCACACCCACATAAAGTTTGACATCAATCAAAAGCTGACAGCACCCTAAGCGCTTCCCAGCCGGTCCCCCAGGCCAGTACTAGGCGGGCTCTCCACCGCTTAACTTCGGAGGTCAGAAGAGATCCGTAAGAAAATTCCACGTGGCGCGCCTGTAAAAAAAGATTGCCGGGCATTGCTGCCCCTGTTATCTAAACTCCTCCCTGTTAAAATCATTTAAACCCCCGGGGGCGTCTAAACAGAGCAAAATCCAGCCTCGACTGTTCAGGGGGGGGGGGGGGGTGGGCACTCTAAAAGGGTTTCAACATCAAGGACCGCGAGACAGTCCTGATGACACCACGGCACCCCATGGCGCCCTTGAGCCTTATAAGTATGATCCCCCTTATGTGCGTGGTATATACAAGAGAATACAAGTCATGCACCCTTGCCTGGCCCGGGAGCTCAAGCCCTTCAGAGCCACGCAGCGCAAGCTGCCAGCACTTCTGCCTGCACAAAGAAAAAAAGCAGTGCGCGGCACGGAACGGAAACCCGAAACTGCCCCTAAGACCTCGCAAAGAAGCTCAACAAAATATACATGAACTACCACGCTTTCTCTCACTCAAGGAAGCTGGTTCGAACACGCTAGCTATCGCACGTTAACGACGGCTAGCACTAGGAAACTCAGCAACCTGTTGGAGGTCTAACACGTCACCGCGGCCTTTCCATCGCGGGGCTCGCTGCCTGGACAAGTAGACCGTGTTTCCGACGCTAGCAGCATCCCTGTAACGTTGCACTTGCTCCCTGCTCCCTCATCGATGTGCTACATACTCGGCAGTCAACTGTAGGCAGCTCCCGGCATGCCTCCGACGTCTTGAGCGCCAAATCCTGCAACCAGATGCAACGAGCAATCGGGCAGGAGGGGCAGGTGCTCGCGGGTAGTGTCTGGGGGGATGGCAATGTACGACAGTAGGCCACACCACGCTTCCCCGTGTCCTCCAGGCTGTGCCCTGCGCTGAGATTCGCAAAGCTGTGGCACACCTCCCACGCAACGTGGATCGGCGTTTTGCTTTACCGGTATGCCAGGAATTGCTTCGAAGACATCGATGCTTGCTTCAAAAACACCTGCATGCGCTTCCATCTGCTTGTCTTTAAGCATCTCTGCCCCCCCTCTCGGCCTCCTTCCAGGCGGCCGTACCCAACGCCTGGCGCGTGGCGATGGTGACAGGATGGTGACACGATGGTGATGCGCCGTCCCCTGTCTCACGCACACGTGCGCACTCAAGTGCGTGGAGACAGGCGCCTTCCTCTGTGCAAGAAGCGCAGGAACCACCTGAGATGCGAGGCAAATACTGGTCGCATGGCATGGCAAGGCCCTGCGGGCGGCAAAGACACCATCCCCACGTCACCCATTGTGTGCATGCCTTGCAACTTATAGGTTGGCTTGGCACCCGACTGGCCACAGCAGCAACTGGATGATGGGGACCATGATGCCTGCAATCAGGCAGGATACCGCGCTCCCCGCCTTGTCTCGCGACAAAGGCTTCCCCTCTCGCCTACCGTCTTGTCCAGACGCATCTGCTTCAGCCAGGCTGCAATGCTGCCTCGCTGGCATGATAGACCACGGTGCCGGGTGTACGGTGTTGGGGAGATGCGAGACGCAGAGCAAGCGAGAGGGAGAACTGTAGAGAATTGCGAGAAGCCGAGAGGAAGAGAGACAGAAAACAACACGCCTGCAAATGCACGATTGAAAATAATGTTGTGGCGTCAAGCGGCAAACCATCGCAAAGCTGCTTCCGGGACCCCAGCGGAGAGCCAGCGCCTCGTCCAGATCATCCGGGACGTCCTCTTCCTCCAGCATCTCCTGTGCTGGGCAGAGGGCATCTGCACATATCTGCACTGAATCTGCAGATGCTGCAGCGCTGATTCGTGCTGCCTCGCAACACTTGGCTCCTCGTGCACATGGCCGTGATGAACCGGTGATGCCGCAGGGCTTGCCCAAGGTGACACGAAATCCTCCCAGGTCTGCGATGGTTTGTTGAATGCTAGACAATCCAGTGGCCCCTGCGCCTCGACGAGTTCGCACTACGCACTACGCATCACTATGCGCTGCGCGCCGCTTCCTGAGAGGGCTGGATAGGGAGACCCGGTCCTGGTACAAGTGCAGCAGGGACGGCACGGGGAGGACCGGCGGTGGCCTGCTTTCGAGCTTCGTGCAAAGAACTGTATAGCTGTCTGCATCAGATCCCACTCCGCAGGCTGCTACTTGTAGCATGTGCTGGCATCCTATTCTCTTTCCAAAATTCAAACTCCTATCGACTTCAATCCAGATCCCCGAGGCCGGCGCTTGGGCGAGTCCGCCATGCATGGCCGGACGTACTGGCAGCGCTCCACAATGCTCCACACGTCCCACATGCCACACACGCTCCGATGCTGCGTGCGCATTCAGCTCAAGCGGCAGCTCAACAAACATGCTCAGCATAGATCAACGAATGGGCCGGCCTGAGGCTGGACCTCCTCCTGGTGCCGCACGGCCTGTCTCCAGAAAACCATGTGCTGCGAGTGTCTCACTTCATGCCGTGGCCGGCACCAGAATGAGGAGCTGCGGCAGCAGCAGCCCGGCGAAGATCTGGTCGGCGATGGCCTGCGCGGCCGCGAGATGTACGAACACAAACAGCAGACTCTGGCAAGATGGGCTCAGACCCATGGCATGAATTTCGCAGTGGTAAATATAATGGCAAGTAATTATGGCAAATATGGAAAATATGCGGTGAGCTATTCTTTTTGTTCGTATGATCATCTTGTGTCAACACACGTGCACCGCAGCGGAGAGATGCAGCAGGAAAGAGGGAATGGGCGCCGGAGAAGGAGGCACCATGCGGCGCCTGGGTAACCCACGGCAGCCCAAGGCCCAACAACTCCGCTAGGAACTCCAGGATGTCCTGCATCTCGGATCACATCCCGAATCGTCCCGAGAACTTGAGAACTTCCTCATACAACTTCATGCTGACGTCCTTTATGCAAAAAAAAGCAGCATGGCCGCCGCCTCCTCGGAGTTCGTTGCGGATTTGAAGGCGGAGGCATCTTGCTCGCGGGCCGCCGCCGCAATCGCCGCCTCGGAGCAGCCGGCGGTTTTAGCCCCTCCCTTCCACTCCAAAGCCCTTGTCTACAATGAAAAATACCCTTGTTTTGAAAAGCTTGAAAAAATAGTGAAAGATCAGCAGTGCAATCAAAACATGCGAGACCATGAGCGTGCAGCGCCGAGCTGCCCAGATGGAGCGCAGCGCATCGACCAGGCGGGGCAGCAGGTCGTCTTCCAAGACCTGCAAACAGGCCGCCGATCGTGAAGCAAGGTCCGACTTCGGGGATGTGCGGGGATGCAGTCGGGCACAGGGCCTCCACCGCGGCTGCCCGCACCTCGGGCGCCGGGGCACGGCACAGCGCGGCAGCAAACATTGTTGTCGCTGTGGTGCATGCATACGCACACGTGAGCCGAGTGGCGCGAGGGTCTTTGACCTGAAGGACGCCTCAGCTGGCTGCACGATGTTGCACGGCATCCGGCGAAGAGTCGAGTTTATAGAGAGAGGGAGCGCTGGCTGCTTCCCAGCCGCGGAGGCACGCTACCCGCGCGCTGGTGGAGGCCAGGTTCTCCGGATGCATGATGAACCTCGCAGCCTGGCCAGCGGCTACTCCGTAGTCCGTCTGCGTATAATATTATAGTTTGAGTCTCCTGCATCGCGTTGCACCGCCGCTCCCCTGCCCCCTCCCCTTCACGCTCGGCCTCCTTCAACACAGGCAGGACCATTACCTGCATACAAATGAACAGCGAACGCAACCTGAGTGCAAAAATCACTGCAGCCGTGACTGGTCTTATCGAGATTGCGGGCATCTCAAAAACCATCGGTTGGCGGGCCTTGTCCTCGGCGTCAGCCAATCCAAGGGCAGCCTTGCAGGTCTGCAGGGGCGAGATGGGCCGAGTTGGCGGACGCCGGACGCAACTGGGAAGATTCGGAGAAGGCCACCGAGACCGGCACGGGCATGAGCAGCCCCTCCGCTGTCCTGAGAGAGCCACGGCCCAAGGCACACGATCGTCTTGAAGTATCTTAAATTGATGGCGGAGCACTGGCGGATTAGGGATAGGATTAGGGGGACCCTTGGGGATATACCCTCTGAATAAGGTCCCTGGGTTCAGAAGCGGTTCCCTTTTAAGGATCCTACCTAGGACGGAGCACCCCTTAAGCCGCTGTCAATGCGTGTAAAATGTTACTGATGGCAACCCCGCATCGGACAGTGCCCGCTAGCTAGCTTTACCAGCCTTCGATTCTATAGTCTTCGGGGACTGCTCGGAATGTATGCTGCCACTCTCAAACTTACAACAGATCACAATGTAATTGCCATGACAGGTCGGGTATCCGACACAATGTACGGCCGCAATGCCTGGCTTTTTCTTCTCGCATTCCGAAACCTCTCGCATGCTCGATTCACTGGGAGCTGCTCATTGAGCTGGCTGTCTGATCAGTGCTCCGAGATCTGCCAAACCCAACCAGCGCACTTTCTCTGGTCTCTACATGTGACAATTTTGGTCATGCTAGAGTCTCTATCCGAAGCTGCGAGTTGCTAAGAACAGCAAGTACCATCAATTCTGTTTTCCTTTCGGCACGCATAGATTTGCATGCACGGCTCTTCCCGGTGTCATTACGCATCCGACATTCAAAAAGCTCCAGTTCACTGCAAAGCTGCTGGCTGCAGCCGCTCAAACTCGGAACTGAACGTCTCCCAGCGTCGTCGGCTGAGCTTCGCGGACTCTGCCCAAAGTGTATCGCACATAACTGTCATAATTTTGCATTCTAGGCAGCCCGTGCTGCGAGGCATGTGTTTTCATTGCTTCTAAAGCCAAGGCTTTCGACGCGGATCTCGTGCCTAGCAAACCTTCTCGGAGAAGGATCTCCCGTGCAACAGAGTCTTTGGGTGCAACTTTCCATTCCCCATCTGATCTGTTCGACAAAAATGCATGCCTCAAACGTTCTTCTACTTGCGAAGCAGTGTCGTCACGTGATGGCGACGCATTGAACTGCTTTCGGAGACGCCTCTTGTTCTCCGAAACGTTGACAAACGCCAGCATGGCCTCTGCTAAATTCGGGTTCCACTCGGAATCCAAGAAGTTCAAGCGCCTCAAGGCTCGGGATACCAGGTCCCTTGAGTCTGCAACCACAAAAGGCCCGCCGCCTCGAAACACAGCTTGCGCGCGACGGTTTCCATACTTATGAAGCAGCGCCTTCGTAACGCTGGGTGAACATACCGGAAGGAAAAACGCAAGCTTCTTGCTATACTTCGAGTACGAGGAGTTTTTGCCCTCGGTCACTCTTGCCAGCGCGGCTCTGTTGGCTGCTTCGCTTGGGAACACAGTCAGGGCCCCCAGCCGGTTTGTGAACCAAAACTTGGCGATGGATTGCACGAGATACTGCTCCTCCTCAAAATACTGTAAACTCTGGAGAAAGTTTGCAATGGCCATCATTTCCTCTTCCTCATGTGGAGCGTATACAAACGGCTCTAAAACTTGCACCTCCCCGCAGCCATTCATGTGAAGAACCGCTCTCACCCGAGGCGCTTTCTCTGGCTGCGCTCTGATCGTCACTACTCGTACGCCGGCTGATCTGAAAAGTCTGATCTGCGACAAAGCAAGCTCCGAAATAAATACCACCACCTCGATCCCCCGTGTCACGGCCATGCTCACGGTGTTGACAAAGTCAGCATCTCCAGTCATAAGCGCAATGCATCCGTCAGCTGAGAGCCTCCCTGACAAGGTCTGTATTTCTATCACGATTGCCCTGTCGTTCGCTTCTCCCTTCGAGTCAGTTCCACGCGGGACAGCATGAAACTGAATCCCGTGCTCATCGAATAGCAGCTTCCATTTCGCATTCAGCGCCCGCTGCGGGGGAGCATAAACTGTTGTCCGAACTTCTCTGGCCCCTGCCTTCTGCAGGGTGCTAATCGCCCATCGAATCATGTCAATGCTGTGTGCGTCTGCATCCACCAATGCACCAAGAAGTGTACATCTGACTGGTCTTTCTCTCCAGCTAACACGGCCCCACCGGGCCCCACCCAGTCCAACGATCTTGTCTCTCCGCTGCCCAGATGCAGCAAGGCCTCCCCACTTCACATCCTGAAGATTTGGCCCTGGCCTACTGCGAAAGAGCAGCTTGTTTGCGAAAAGACTCCTGAAAACGTTGACAGAAGGCAGCATTTTGCCGATGCACCAAGCTTTAATTGGGCAGGCCCTGACGAAGCTTGATCCTCCAAAGGCACTGACACCGCAACGCCTGAGTGTGCTGCGACTTTCAATGGAAAGCTGCTGCGACTTCTAGAGTTCGCTGGCCAAATATCCTGGTTCTATCTATGATGTTCTATAGCGGCGCCGGTGATGCTCGAGATCTTGGCACCTTCTTCATCATGGAGCTGCTGCACGTCACTGCACGCGACGGCATGTCTCCAAGAACGTGCTCAGGGCTGGGCTCCGGCGTGACTCTCATGGCAAGGTGCTTGACAATGTGCACATAGAATGCCTGGGCTTCTGCGGTCTTTCTTCTCTTCTCTCTGTCCCTGCCACTCCCTCCTCCCGTCAAAGTTCCCGCTTACGTTCTCATTGTATAACATGCGCGTCATCAGCGTGCTCATGAACAGGGAGGGTCTCCCAAACCTCGACCTCGAAAGGGCCCCCGGCCAGGCTGTCATCCGTTGGGAGCTCCGGCCTGGGTTCCGGCAACTCCAAGGCTCCGCAGAACCAGAGGCATGTGGCAACATGTGGCAACATGTGGCAGCCTTGTCCTTCTGAAGCTGTAAGCGCCGCGCTGGCCGCGCAGCAGCTTGTTGTAGGCGCCACCCTCAAGGATCCTCCGGCCCGTGGTGGGCCTGGCCTTCGGCGATGCACGGCGGGTGGGCGGCGCGGGTGCGCCGGATCGAGCGCTGATGCAGCGAAAACCGCATTAGGCGCACTGTAGGGTCTGCTAATTAAAAGTTGAATGTGAGTGAGCGGCGTTCGTGAGGAGAAGGCACCTTAGCACCGGCACTGATCACGCCTGAACATCTACAGCATCTACAGTATGCAGTATCTACAGGTATTCGTGGTCACCATGACCGTGGCCTATCCGTGGCATGCAGGCACAAAGCATTGCGAGATATTGCGAGCCCAGGGGCAGCGTTTGAAAAAGCTGGACGCGCACACGCTCCAGCGTTTCGTAGGCCAAGAGGCCAGTCACGAGGAGTTCTATCCCCTGCGGGGCACTCATGGAATATCAGGCGCCACGTGTATACTTGCAGCTGGAAAGGGCGCTCCTGCAAACCCCCCCCGTCCACACGCCTCGTTGGCCAGAAAAAAATCAAAAAGATCTCCATGAAGATCTTCCGAATGAGCAAGCCTCCGAGAATCGCTGAAGCCACGTTCAAGCATGCCGACGACGAGGTCAGGAACAAAACCGCAACCCCCAATTGCAGCATCTTGCAGCCAGGCTGCGCTGCCCCAGTTTGGTGGATGAACTTCACCAATGCCTCGGGGCGTGAAAACACTTATGAAGCAATGGCACGAAAAATACACTAGCTGCTATAGAGATCATCAGATCAGTACTCTACATCCTGCCCTCACACTCTATATATACATACGCAGCAGCTGGGTTTCCCACGTCGGCTTGGGCGTTCGTGTGGGGGAAGGCCGCCGACCCCAAGGTCAGGCCATCCCGGACTCCCTGCAACCTCAGAGCAGGGATAGATTCGGATAGAGTCGTAGGCGTGGAGCAGACATTGAGTATGCATGATGGGCATCCGAGAGCCCGGCACGGGGGCCAGCTCCGCCAGATTCAGCGGAAAATCCTCAGGAGCTGTCTCGCATCTGTCTGCGATCCACGACGCTCGAATGGCAATGAGGCCAGCTAGTTTAGGCTGCACTTGGGCCCCCGGCGTTCCGGTCATCCTTTGCCTGACGCCGTGGCGGCGCTAGGACGGAAAAGCAGCTCTCTCCCGCTGATCTCTTCTGGTCTGCCGAAGGGAACGGCCCGCCTCCCAGAACGAGGCCAGCCACTCCATGGCCGCCGGCCGAAAACCAGCGCGGCAGCACGGAGCAGCAACCACCCACCGAAGAGACTTGTGAAGTCATGTCTGGCCATGAGTCTGTCATATTATGCCCCAGTTTTCTCGGCAGCCTAAAGCAACTGTTGCAAATTGTGGACGGCGCATGGTCATTCGGAGCACCATGCTGCGACTCCTACTGATCTCCGCTTGAAGCGCTCTGGCAGCGGCACCAACCGTATGTCTTCCGCTTTTCTGCAACGTCTCATTTCCAGCCTCGAACCACGAAAGCAGCTGCTAGGCAGCTCTGTAGCCGCGAACAGGACAGGCTTCTGTGGCCTACCATTGGCTCACAGCATGTTCTGGTCCTACGATTCCGATGTCTCCCTTTCCCACTGCCCCACACCCAACCTCCCACCACGCCCCTGAGACCACTCGGCTTCAGAGCTCAAAGCCACAAGCGTGGCCCCACATTTTCACCATGCATATTTTTGCGGGTGGCTTCTAGGCTACCGCAGGGCCCCGAGATCTCTGCGCAGCTACACCAGGCGTCTTGGAAGGGGCATCCAGCTGTCCTGCATCGGACACTCTATGAATTCGACTGCACCAGATAATCATTTTTCACCGCCGCCGCCTGAAATTCTTGATGGTATGGGCTCCTTCCCAGCGGCTCACGCGCTGCAGCAGTGCTGCTCGCGACAGCCTGGTCCGCCAACGGCTGAGCCTTTGGAAATCTTCGTGAGCCTCCGCTGCGTTCGGGCGGACAGGACCTACGCACTTGATGCTTAGGCTTTCCACCGACATGCGGGCAGCGAAACCTGTCCGCAGCTTGCGCACACCGGGAGGAAGCCCCCCAACAAGGCTGAAGACTTTTTCGCCAGACGGAGTCCTTCCCAGCAGCTGGAAGTACTCGGGATGGAAGTTGTTCTTCAGGTGCACCTCTAAGCCCTCATAGTCGACTTCCTGAAAATTTTGAGGGTTCATGCGCACGTGGAGAAGGAGCTGCTGGATGGTGGCTCGATTGCCCAAAGCTGTCATGGACTTCTCCAGGCCAGCCCTCCTGGCCCTATCGGCTGGGCAACGGGCACCCTTTGCTTTTGGAACCACAGCAATCGCTTCCAGGTTCCAGGGGGGGCCCCTCCTTGTAGAGTCGTAGGCATTGAACCTGGCATTCCGGTCTTCCTTTGCCTCACGCTGCGGCGGCGCTAGGACGGAAAAGCAACTCCTCCCAGAACGAGCCACTCCATGGCCGCCGGCTGAAAACCAGCGCAGCAGCACACGGGAGCAACCGAAGTCATGTCGGGGGAGGAGTCTGTCATAGCATGTCCCAGTTTTTTTCGACAGTGCCTCTACAGCCAACTGTTGCAAATAGTGGGCGCATGGTCATTCGGAGCACCATGCAGCGACTCCTAGCGATCTCGGCTTGAAGCGCTGTGGCAGCGGCACCAACAGCAGGTCTGCAACATCCCGCTTTTCTGCGGCATCTCATTTACAGCCTCGTCTTCTGAACTCTATGACTGCTACAGTCCTGCATCTATGGAGGGCAGACAAGAGCGTCACAAGATGATCTGCTGGTTTTTTGATCGCTGGCCAGCGTTGCAACATTGATCCGTGGTTCAGCTAGCTATATTCTGGTGAACCGTTCAACAACCCCAAAACTCTAATCTTAAAGGCCGTCGCGGAGCTTTGGGGCATTGCGCCCATGGGGCCCCATCTGCGATTTGTCAAAACCTTGCAGATCACTCGGCGACCATCCACGAATCCATCCATGTACACGTCCCTTGGGTCTTCTTGTCCCGAATCTGAAGGCTTCCGGGCAACCATAAACAGAGCCCTTCCGGCTCCTGCCTTCTTGCGCCTGGCTGCGCAGCGCGGCCGCCTAGCCGGCAGCATGAGCTTCATGACGTCGTCGCGGCCCGACTTCACTCGAGTGTCGTTCAGATGATGTCCTCTTGGTTCGTCCACTCCGGCTTCATCCCATTTCCCTCTGCGGCGTGTCTTCTGCTTCTCTGCACCACGCAGCGGCTTGTCGGCTTGAGATGGCCTGCTTCTGCTCGTGCATGCCAGCCAGATCTGGGAGAGTATGGGAACAGAGGGTCGTTGGCCGCCAGAAACACACAGATTGAAGCGCTATGTCCTAGGATGGCCCCTAAAACCCTCTCTAAAAAATATTCCTTACATATCACCCTCTTAAAACCAAAGAAAGGGAAAATACAAAAATGTCCCAAGGGCCCACCTAGCATCCGATCCCTAGCACTCAGCGGACCTGACAACGCGGTCGGCCACAGAAGCTTGTCCAGGCCTGGTCAGGCAGCACTTGCACGGGGCCTTCAACGCTATCTTTACATGTGCATGTGTATATGTATATACATACATATATGTAAATTACATACACCACCGAAGACCCCAAACAGTCAAAGGCACGTCAAAGAAACGGTGGCGACGACGGAAAAAAGGGGAGACGAAGGGAGACAAAGGGAGGCGAGGAGCACAGCAACCCGGCAAAGCCACCCACATGAGGGGAGACAAAGGGAGACAAAGGGAGACAAAGGGAGACAAAGGGAGACAAAGGTCCTCAGAATGTCGGCAAACCTTAAATGAGTTTTGAACCCCAACAGTAGACTGCTTGGGGAACACTTGCATATAAACATATATATATATATGTGTGTATGTGTATATATATATATATATATTGTACGTATGTATGTGTATGTATATATATATGTATACACAAGTGTGTGTGTGTGTGTATATATATATATATGAATGTATATATATATATACATATATGCTACCCCCCCCCCCCCCGAATTGATCCACCGGTTTCTTCTTTTCTGCCCTCTTGCGAACCCGTCATTGGAGTGTTGAAGTTCAACCCAATATATTGAAGTTCAATGGTGAATATTGAACTTCAATATTGGGACCGGGTCCAAGATTCAAGATTCAAGATGCCTGACAAAGTTTTCCTGGGCATCTAGAATCTCGAATCTTGGACCCGGGCCCAATATTGAAGTTCAATGTTCAATATTGAAATTTAACATACCAATGCTGAAGGTGTGTATGCACCACAAAGAGGAGAGCCCTTAGGAGAGCCGGCAGGTCCTGCGTATTCCGTTAAATTGCTGTTCCCGAAGTCTTGTTCCCTAAATATATTCCCTAAGTCTTGTTCCCGAAGACAAAGAGGAGAGCCCTAAATCTTGAAAAAAACTGACCCCCTACATCTTGTCGCCAATTCCTAAAACGCGGGGTCTCTGAATCTATTTCATGCCCAGAATCCTAGTCCCGAAATCTATAGAGGAGAGTACCTAAATCCGAAAAACAAATCCTATTTCCTAAGTCCTTTTGGCTAAGCCATAAAGAGCAGGATCCCTAAGTCTTGTTCCCTAAATCGAATTGCAGCAAAACACCCCTAAATCCTAAAAAATGGAACCCTGTTCCCTAAATCCATATCCATATCGCAAAATCCTGAAGAGCAGGATCCCTAAATCGGAGACCTATTCCCTAAGCCCTCAAAAAGGGGGTCCTTGCACCCGAAAGAGAAGAGCCATAGGCGAGCCCTCGAGTCCTCAAGCTATCCCGAAAAAATTGTCGCTAAATTTGACGGTAAAGAACGAGATCCCGAAATCTAGTTTCCTTAATTATGCTCCTTATATCCTATGGGCTAAAGCGGTCCGATGTGTGAACAGCATATGGGATTCCCCCACTCTAGGCTTGGCCAATATGACTTAGCCTTTACAATTTCGGGACTCTCCACTTTCGGAACTAAGCAAACTCTTCTCTTTAGCTTTTCGGAGTTAGGGTAAACATGTTCCCTAAATCCTTGGTCGCTAAACCCTAAAGAGCGGGATCCCTTATTTGTTGAGGACATGTCGAATAAGATCGTCGCTAGACACACCGAGTAAGATCTAACCTCGTGGGGGGAAAGGCTCTCAAAACTCTCCTCTTTATGATTTCGAGTTTTACGATGTTGGGGGTACCTTACTGGGGTCCTTTTAGAAGGGGATCCTACTATTTGTAGGGTCAAAACTAAGGGTGCCCTCTATTTTCGCAAACCCCCATTTAGGCATTTAGTGGCTATGGATTGGGATCCCTCCGCTGTAGGGCTTGGCCAATAATATGATGTGAGGAGTATAGTGAGGGTTAATTGGAGGGAGAGCCACCCACGTTCTGATTTGTGCAATACGATTTGGGGAATAAGACTATAAGGGAATTCGATTTGGGATCCTGCTCTTGAGGGCTTCGCGGAAAGGATTTAGGACATCGGATGTGTTGCTTTGGATTTAGGGGCTCTCCGGATTTAGGGACTAGGATTTGGGATCCCTCAACTTTTGGGCTCGGAGGAAAAGAATGAGAGGTGAAGGGGAGAGCCACACCTTTTGGCTTATGCAACAGGGATCTTGGGAATAGCCCTAAACCCTAAACCCTAAGTATTAAGGGAATAGGGAAGGGAGCAAGACTGAGGAATCGCACTACCCCGCTCTTTACGACCTAGGGAATAGGATTTAGGGAGAAAAATGGAGAGTTCGCTTCAGAAAACCGAAAAGCGGTGGACCAATGGGGGGAGAAGCAGGTATGTGTATATATATATATACATATATATTGATTTACATACATACATACATACGTAGATACATACATACATACATACATACATACATACATACATACATACATACATACATACATACATACATACATCATACATACATATAAATATAGACAGGTTCTCGCCCCACCCCACCCCCCCACCCCCTAACCCCCCCCCCCCCCGCACAAGAAAAAAACACCCATGTTGTTGAGGTCTTGCTTCCTAAGATGAGATGCTCAAGATGGCTAAGGCTGACGCTTTGGTCGTTAACTTACCCTGCACACAAGGCATTTTCCTGCAATGCTCGGTTGAAGGTTGATTAAAATGTGACAACCAGTGTGTGCAGTCTCCCACACCATTCCAACAATCATGCGCCCAGCCACATGTCATTGTTCTCTAGGATGGCTTGACAAACCTTAAGTGTGTCATACTGAGACTCCATCCCACAAGTATCACATCATGTTCGTTTATAAGGTGATTGCATCAACTCGCGATTTGGTGTCCCAAGCTCGATGAATAATATACTGCGTGGCAAGTTCTTCAACTTCACTTTGTCGGGAGATCTCCTTACCCTTCTTTTTATCGTCCACTGCATCCCTAAACCCGAAACCCTAAACCCTAAACCTAAACCCTAACCCCCAAACCCTAAACCCAAAATCATGACCACACTTGGGATGAAACCGGTCTTGGGTGCGAGTGGAGCCATCTCAGTGGCTGACGTTGTCAAAGGCAACCTCGAGTCCAATCTTGGGACCTCGGCACCACGTTTAGGGGGCTTAGGGGGTTTAGGGTTTAGGGTTTAGGGCTTAGGGTTTAGGGTTTAGTATCTAGAGGACAGGACAGCAGCAGAAGCAGCATCACCAAAAGTGATGAGGCGGGCAACTAGCGCAGGGGCGCAACAGAGGGTTTAGGGGTCTAGGGTTTGGGGTGTAGGGCTTAGGGTTTAGTGGTGTAGAGGCAGGCCCCCCAGAGATGGTGCATCGAGGTCCAGGCACCAACGCTTGAACTGGCAGAACACGGCCAAACATGACCTGGGGTCACCGAGTCAAATTCTCGGCCAGTGTCAGACGCACCCGACTGCAAAGACTCCAATACCCCTGAATCCGCCGAGGCCTCGGGCCGAAGGTGTATAGGTTGTGAGAACAGGCACCCCCCTCCAAATCCTCCCCCCACACCCAAAGTGCGGTCCCACCCCCCACCCCGCTGAATCCCCTACCCTACCCCACTGCCCCCCCCCCCCCCCCCTTTCCCCCTACCCCAACCCCCCCCCCCTCTCCTACCTGCTGCTTGAGGGGCATGGCAAGCCGAACCGTCTCAACCCTCAACCTTGAACCTTGAACCTTGAACCTTGAACCCTAAACCCAAAAAAAACCACCGTGAACCTTGAGCCCTAAGCCCTCAACCCTAAACTAACCCTCAACCCTAAACCCCAAATCATATACCATAAACC